CCGAGCACTGCTCCGCTGAGCGGCAGGGCTGGCGGGGGGTGTTTGGGTCACCGGTGTCTCTTGGCCCACCCGGGGCCTCCCCGGTATGGTCCTGCGCAGACACGGGCACCCGCACCCCAGGACCCTGCACCAGGGCTCATGCCGCAGACATGCCTGGGGGTAGCCAGGCTTCCCACAGGGATCCTTCGATTCCATCTCCAACACTTGGCAAGACATACTCTGGAGCACTGAGCCATGAGCAGCCCTGAGCACTGCTGGAACTGTCCTGACCCACCTCAGAAAAGAGGAAAAAAATGGCCGGGGTGGCCGGAACTGGCTCCTGGGTGCCTGTCAGGGCGGCCGGCTCAGCAGTGCCCTTCCCTGTGGTGGCCGGGCGCACCCAGAGGTGCCCTGCGCCAGGGCACGTGGGCCCCCAGCAGTGCCGTCATAGGAGGGAGATGCAGGGCCAGGCCCAGGGGCGTCAGCGGTCTGGGGACACTGTCTGCCCGTCACCCCCAGCCCTGGTGTGGGACTGGGTGGGGGGCCTGGGCACCTCCCACCCTGGAGCTGCCTCCAGAGAACAAAGATGTTTTGATGAGCTGGAAAACCCCATGGGAGCCGGCAGTGTCCCCAGGAGTGACCCCGTGGAGGCGGGAGGGGGGTGCGGGGGAGTCCCTGCTGCCCACCGTCCAGGAGGGAGCTCAGGGGACCACAACGCTGCGTCTGCGCCACGCTGGCCCCAGGGTGGGGGGCCGCGGCCGCAGAGGCTCCCCCAGGTAGGAGGTGGACATGTCCACTGGCCTCGGGGTGCAGCCCCCCGACCCTGTTCTTGTGCTCCCCAGGCCTGGCGGGCCGTGGCAGTCCTGGGGCCTCGTCCAGCAGGGCTCTGCGGGATCCGTGGGGGTGACCAGGACGCGGCTCCCCTGCCGGTGTCCCCGCGCGGTCCTGAGCTGGCAGATGGTGCGCTGCTCGTTCTGGAATGTTCTCTGCTGTGGCGGGAAGGTGGCGTCTGCCGGCTGCTGGTGGGACTGCAGTGCAGGGAGGCCTGCGGCCAAACGGCGGCGGCGACGGGCGGCGGAAGTGTGGGTGCAGATAAGGGGCTCCCCCACCGCATGTGCCCGCTGCCTTCTGTCCGCCCGTCCCGGGCCCCGGGGCAGGAAGGAAGGGGCCGTGCTGGACCCCCCTTCCTGCCCGTTCTCCACCTGGAGGCTGCAGGTCCCCAGCACGGCGGCCCCTGGGGTCCGGGTGTGGTCAGTGAGGACTGAGGACATACGCAGCACCAGATGTTTGTCCTCCTGTCCTCTGGGCGGGGCCATTGCTGGGCCGCTGGCGCGCTGCCTGCCGGGGGCGGGGGCACCTGACCCCTCTCCAGCCGGGGAGCTGCGCTCTCCCCGCGATCGTTATCTTTCAGCTCCCAGAGCCTTCCACTGTCATTATTTATGACGAGGTTTCCCTGGCAACGGGCAGCTGGCGGTCCCCTTCCTGGTGAGGGGGGGCAGCCCCGGAAGTGGGATGCTCCCTCAGACCCGGCGTGGCTGGAGTCAACGGCGCACTCGCCTCCCTCCCGAGGACCCCCTGGCATGGCCTGGCAGCTGAGCAGGTACCCCGCTCGCGGTCCCGCGTGAGGTGGGGTGCGGCCGTGGCGGGCGGCCAGGATGCTTCTGCCCTGCTGCCCTTTGACCTGGTCCAGCTGCCCACCCGGCTCGGCCGCCCGCCCCCACCCCCCACCCCTGGTGGGCTGCTCCCCACCCTCCCCTGCCCCTTCCTTTCCTGGGGTGGGGGCGCCAGGATCTCAGCCAGACAGAGAAAGCGTTCCCGGGGCTGGCGGGGGGTGGGGCCCCCAGACAAGGGTGGGGTCCTGGGGGGGGGTGGGTGCCATCACCCGCCGTCCCAGAAAGTGTCTCTGTGGCCCCGGGAGCCTGGAGGACTGTTCCACGAGCCAGGCTGGGCAGAGCAAGCGCCAGCGGTGTAGCCCCTCCCGGAAGAGGGACGGCAGCCCTGTTCGGCTGTCTGTCTGTCTGTCTGTCTGCTGTCTGTTCTTCTGTCCTTCGGGCACTCCCTAGCGTTAGCCGTTTCCGCGCTGGTCCTCACAGGCCGTGTCAGGGGTGCGTGTGGCGTCCAGCCCAGGCCAGCGGTGCCCCTGGAGGCCCATGGGGGTGAGGGCTCGTCCCGCCCCACAGGGCTGCAGGGGTGCAGCCGCAGCCCACCCCCCACCCCACCCCCCGCCTGCCAGTGTGGGTGCGGCCGTGGACACGGGTCTGGGGCGTCCCCGAGCAGGTCCAGGGGCTCGGCAGAGCCTGGTCCTGAGGCCGCCTGCTGCCTGCGTTGGTTTGTCCTGGGGTGACCCCGCCAGGTTGGTCCTGCCCAGCGCCCCACGCCCGGGCCCTCCCCCTCCCTCCTCGGGCCCCCTCCAGCCTTTTGTTGACATTGTTTCCACCCCCCCATGCTGCTCTGAAGGCGGGAGGGGGGGGCACCTGCAAGGGGGCTCAGGACCCTTCGGGGGCAGGGGGTGGTCTCAGGTGAACAGTGGGGGCAGGAGCCAACCCCCTGTCCTGCCTCTCCGGGCCTGGGACCCCGCCACCTTTCAGTGGCCTGTGCCCCCGCCGACCGCCGGGCACCAGCCCAGGACTCTGCGTCCCCCCTCCTGCCTCTGCCGGGGGCCGGCTGTGCCCCCAGCCCAGTGCTGGCCCTGGGTGAGCGACTGTCCCTGTCTGTGCAGTGTCCAGCGGCTCAGAACACGCGAGGCCCCCCGGGCTGTTCCTGGGGGCAGTTGAGGCCAAGCCCCTCTGTCATCCTGCCTGTGATCGATGCCCCTTTCAGCAGCTCGGAGCCAGAGAGGCTGGAGTGTTCTAGATTCTTGTGTGCCTGCCCAGGCTTCCAGTGCAGGGCGGGATTCGAACCCGAGGCTGTGGGCTGGCTGGGGCTGGAGCGGGGGGGGGGGGGGGGGTGCCAGGCCCCTCCCTTCACACCCCCACCCTGTCCTGGGCAGGTTTCTGTTCCCCCTCCTTGGGACACCCCACCCCTTCCTCCTTCCCCTCCCCACCCAGCCCCTCCCTCACCCCTCCCCACCCACCCCCTCTGGCCAGCCCGGGAGCCACTTCCTGCTGGAGCTTTCCTGAGTCCAGGTGGGCACTTTCTGGGTGTGGCCCTGATTGGCCCTTGTCAGGCGTGTCACCATCTGGTTCCCACTCAGCGTCCAGGGATGGGGACAACGAACTGAGCTCTGGGGTAGGTGTGGGGGACCGAGGCCAGGCCCCGGGGAGTGGGGGGCGGGCGAGGCCTTCCCCAAAGCAGCCCCAGGACCCCCCCGGGACAGGTGGCGCCGTGTCATGTCGTGGGGGGGGAACCCCAGCTCTGGCCCATCCTGGGCTGGTCTCCCGCCGGCGGCCTCGTGGGTCCCACACTGGGCGTCGCGTCTCCTGGGTGTGTCAGTCGGCTCGCTCACACTGAGTGTGGCACAGGGTTGGTGGCAGCAGGTGTGTCACTGGTTGTGGTGTCACACTGGGTCAGGTGTCACTGGGTCAGTGTCACTGGGTCAGTGTCACTCTGGGCTCTGTTCCCGAGGCCCTGGTGCGTGTCTTGCTCTTGTCTGTCAGACTGGGCTTGGTGCGTCCTCAGTCCCCCTTTCCTGCTTTCTTCAGTTACGGGGACCCCCCACGGACCCCTCAGGTCTCCCCAGGCTGCACAGCCCATGCTGCCGTCGGGGTCACGGGCAGAGGCTGGCGGGTGGGGGTGCACATATGTGACAGCGAACACGCGTGGTTGCAATGGTCTGGGTCCTGGGACAGGCAGTGTGCAGAGGGTGGGCTTCCTGGGGACCCCCGCACGGCAGGTGGCCCCAGACTCTGCTTCTGATCCCAGCTTCTGATCCCCTTGGCCCCGCCAGCCCCGCTCCCAGACCAGTGCTCCCCAGAGGACAGAGCAACAAGGCTGGTTGCTGCTGTTCCGTTATCTGTTCCTAGTTTTCCTTCGCTTGGGGGCCACATCTGGTGGTGCTCGAGGCTGACTGACCCCTCACTCTGTGCTCAGGGGTCACTCCCGGCAGGACATGAGAACCTGTGGGGTGCCGTGGGTAAACCGAGTCAGCTGCACGCAGAGCTGGCGCCCTCAGCGTTGCACTGTTGAATGGCTTCAGATGCCAGTCAGCCCCCACCTCCACGGGGTATAAGCGCCAAAACTAAATTGGAAATACTTTTTTTTTTTTCTGAATCTTGGATCACACTCGGCGGTGCTCGGGGGTTCCTCCTGGCTCAGCACTCAGCAGTCACTCCCGGTGGGCTTGGGGCCACCTGGGATGCCGGGGTCAGGCCTGGGGTGGCTGCTTTTTGGCTGCCTGTGTGGCGGGCGCCCTCCCCGCTGTACTGCGCTTGGCCCCAGACTTGGAAATACTTGGCACGGGAGCAGGTTTGTCCGCGGGCCCGGGGCGCCCAGAGGGCTGGCTCACACGCTTCCATCGGGGCCTCAAGTCCACCAGCGTGGTTGTTGCCCCTGAATCTTCGCTCACACCTCCTGTGGATCGAGCGTGTCGGGCCTTGGGGCCCTGGTGGATGGGGTGGGGCTGGCCGCTGGGCCTTGGGACGCCCCCCCATGCTCCTTCGGGTGGGGGCTGTCCTAACCCCCAGCAGGGGGAGGCCCCACCTGCCCGGGGGTGCCCGCAGCTTCCCCAGCACGTTGTTCGCAGACCCCGGTGGCGGAGGTCGGGCCTGGCGGGGGTCTTGACACCAGGACGCATTTCTAGAGTCCAGTAGTGGGGCTGGGCCCCCAGCGCCGGGCCCCCCTTCCTGCCACACACAAGGCCTTCGTGGGGTCCCAGCGTCACGTCGCGCCCCCCCCCCCCGGAAACCGAGCCATCCCCCATCAGCTCCTCCCCCGCCCAGCAAGTCAAAACCCCCCCACCCCCCCACCCCCCCGCCCCAGCCCATCCTGAGAAGAGTCCAGGAAGGTTCTGGGATGGATGAGGTTTGGAGGGAGGGGGCCCTCTCCGAGACATCAGCCCCCTCTCCCCCACCCCACCCCCGCAGGATCATGCGGCCTGACGACGCCAACGTGGCGGGCAACGTGCACGGGGGCACCATCCTGAAGATGATCGAGGAGGCGGGCGCCATCATCAGCACCCGCCACTGCAACAGCCCGCAGAATGGGGTGAGTGGGGGGGCTCTAGCAGGACGACGGGGTGAGTGGGGGTCCTAACAGATAAGGGGGGCAGGTGGGTACTGGGTTTGGTCGTCTTCCCACAGCTGCCGCCTGGTCAGTAGAGACCCAGAGGGTCGTTCGTGTTGGCCTTTTGGATCTCCCCCTCTCAGAGCTGGGGGCGGAGAGTCTGGGCTGTGGGCGTGCAGTGTGTGTGTGTGTGTGTGTGTGCACACCATGTGTGTCATGTATGTGTATGTGCAGCGAGTATGTATGCAGCGTGCGTGCATGTGTGTGTGTGTGTGTGTGTGTCTGTGTGTGTGTGTCTGTGTGTCCATGAGCAGGCGTGGATGGCTGGGGAGGCCTGGAGGGTGTGAGGGCCCAAAGACAGCCCATGGCGCCCCCTGCTGGCCATGGGGGGAGCGAGGCAGAGCCTGGGGCTGCCTGGAAGGGCCCCAGCTGCATTGGGGCGGGAGGGCGCCCTGAGGGTGAGGGTCCTGCAGGGGCTGCCCAGGAGCCCGTGCCCCCTCACATCCTTCTGCAAGTCCTGTGCGGGGGCTCAACCCTTTTCCTCTCCATGCACACGCAGCTCCCGTGAATCCTGGGAGGTGCTGTGTCCTGTCCGTCCGTCTGTGTGTGTCTGTGTGTCCAGGGTGGTCTGGGGCCCATACCTTCTTTCCTGCGCCCCGCCTCCCAGGCTGCCCTCGGGCTGGGGCTCAGACCCCCACGGGGACCCTCACGCACCATGTGCTTCCCTGGCAGCGAAGGCTGGAGAGCTGACTGGGTGCTTCCCAGTCTGGGGGCTCCCACCCAGCGGCGCCCTAAAGCCAGGGGTCCAGCTGTGGCTCCTCAGACGCCCCCTGCCCGATCCTCACCCACCAGCCCTGGTCCCACCGCCCTGCTCCCCCCATGGGTGGCGCCCCCCTCAGAGCTGCCGCCTGCCCCCCCCCATCTGAGCCCCACACACTACGCTCCCCTCACCAAGCCCCAGCCCTGCTAGTGCCAGTGCCAGGGTGGGGGCATTAACCGAGCCCTAGCCAAAGGGCTCGGGTCCCTGCAGGGCGGGATGGTGGGGGTGAGAGACCCACGGAACCGGTGGGAGGGAGCCACGGGGGGGGGGGGGGGGGGGGGCCAGGAAATTCCGGGGGCATGCCTCCCTCCTGGTCCTTCCCATGTTCTGCCAGTGGGTGGCGCTAGAGTCACGCCGATGTCTTCAGGGACTGCACAGCCACTTGCTTCCCTCTCACACAGAAGCCGTGTCTGGGTGTGTATGAGGTGTGTTCATCTGCGTGTTCGTGTGCACCTATGTCCATGTGAACAGGCACATGTACAGTGTGTGCACCTGTGTGAGAAATAACGTGAATGCGCACACAGGCTGTGCACACGTCTGCACACTTGGCGCCTCTTGTGTGTGTGTGGAGGGGGCGCCAGTGCCCTGTGCGCCTGTGGGCAGCCCCGTGGTGGGAGGGGACACAGCTGACCATGGTCCTGTGCCCTGGGCGGGGAGCCAGGAGAGTGGCACAGTGCCACACAGACCCTCCCGCGGGCTTGAGCCCCGGGCCTCTTCTGAAGACAGTCCCGGGCAGGGTGGACGGCCCGAGCTACTTCTCAGCTGGTCAGCACGTGGGCGAAGTCCTTGATGGACAAGTGGGGGCAAGTCTGTGAGCTGGATCTTCCAGGGGCCCTGGGCAGTGGGGGTCTGTGGGCAGTAGGGGGCCTGGTCAGTGAGAGCTGTGGGCAGTGGGGCTCTGGGTCAGTGGGGGCCGAGGGCAGTGAGGGCCGTGGGCAGTGTGGCCCAGGCAGAGGGCTGCAGCTGCTGCTGCCCGCCGCCTCTCACCCCTGCACCCTGCTCCTCAGGAGCGCTGCGTGGCAGCCCTGGCGCGCGTGGAGCGCACGGACTTCCTGTCGCCCATGTGCATCGGGGAGGTGGCGCACGTGAGCGCCGAGATCACCTACACGTCCCGGCACTCCGTGGAGGTCCAGGTGCACGTCATGTCCGAGAACATCCTCACGGGTAGGAGCCCACGCACAGGGGCCATCCATCCGTCTGTCTGTCCGTCTGCCTTCTCCTCCCGTCTGCCTGTCCCGCCCTGCTCTCGCCCCGCCCTCCCCTGGCTCTTCATAACTGGGCGTGAGAGTGGGAGCGGCTCCCGCCACCTGCGACACCCAGCAGCCCTACCCGGCTCGGGCTTCCAGAACATTCCTGTGGCCGCAGCAGCCTGGCAGGCTGGGGGCCCCGTGCTGGGGTCTGTGCCCCAGGCTGAGGCCGGGGAGAGGCTCTTGCTCTGCTCGCGAGACCCTGGTACCTGTGGTCCCCCAAACTGCCCCAGGAAAGGCAAACCCGGATGCTAGGAGACCCCTCAGCTGCCTCCCTCCCCCCACAGGGACCAAGAAGCTGACCAACAAGGCCACCCTGTGGTACGTGCCCCTGTCCCTGAGGAACGTGGACAAGGTCCTGGAGGTGCCGCCCGTCGTGGTGAGGAGCCCCGCCCCTGCCCGTGAGCGATGACCTGAGTGGACACAGGCCTCTTCCTGGCCACTGCACACCCCACGTGCTCACCCCGCCCCTCGGCCCTCCGAGTCCCCCGCTCTCTCCCGGAGGCGCTGCCGCTGAGCTATATAGTCCCGTGGCCGGGACACGGATGGACAAGTGGCCCCAGGGGGAAGCACCAGGCACTGATGTCCCACACTGCTGTGTGCCTGCCTGGAATGGCCCCGAGGGGTCCCAGGGGGCGCTGAGCGGAGCCTTGGCCAGGCTGAGCCGAGCTCCCACCCTCAGCACTGGGACAGCAGAGGGGCTGGGTGTCCACTGCCCCCGGGCACCCCGGCCAGGGACACTGCCTGGAGACCACGGGCCACTTGTCTGATCGGAGAGTGGGCAACGTACAAGGGGTGCAGCTTCCTCCCGGCCCTGACGGCTGCTGCGGGCACCCCGCCCTGTCCATTCCCTACTGACCGTCACCCCATCCCGGGGATCCCCCACACTCATGCTCCTTTTCCCCCCTTGGGGTACCCTCTGGGCCCTCGCAGAGATCAGGCTGGGCTCCCTGGGAGGAGAACCTGGGGCCTGGGGTGGGAGGGGAGCCTGGGCCCCCTGGGGGTGGGCTCAGGAAGGGGCCGGCCCAGCCTGACGCACCCCCCCACCCCCTGCACCCTAGTACTCGCGGCAGGAGCAGGAGGAGGAGGGTCGCAAGCGGTACGAGGCCCAGAAGCTGGAGCGCATGGAGACCAAGTGGCGGGACGGGGACATCGCACAGCCCGTGCCGAACCCCGGTGGGTGCCGGGGGGAGGGGACGGGACATTGCCAGCCCGGAGTGGGGTCCGGGCCTGACGGCTGGGGCTGGGGGGACAGTGACCCAGGCCCCGGTGGGCAGGGACACAGAGGCCTGCAGAATGTCCCGGGGGGCTGGAGGCCTCAGTGTTCAGACTGGGGACCCCCATTGGTTTGGACCCCCCCCTCCTGTGCACCCAGACCCCAGGGCCTGGGGGGGGCTTCCTGTGGCCCAGCCCGTGGAAGGTCTGTGTGTCTGGGCAGCCTCGTGGGGGGAGGGCAAGGAGGGCACCCCGGCTTTCAGGCTAGGGGGTCCAGGCCCCCCCCGGTCCCTGTCAGGGAAGAGCTGCCCGGCCGTGGCCGTTTCCCGTTGGCCTCTGGGGGTGCCGGGTCGGGGGCAGCCAGGCCGCCCCGGTGCTCAGGCATCGGGGGGCTCGGAGAGGGGAGAGCTTTGCAGCGCAGGGCGGCTCCGGAGACGGGCCCAGCCCCACCTCCCGGCCCACGTCAGCCTGTCCCGGGGAGACCCCGTTGCACCCCAGGTGTGTCGCCCGGGGCTGTGATGTTCCCCGGTGCACCCACTCCTGGGGGAGGAAGGGAGAAGTGCTGAGTCTCGGCTGCTTCCCCACACGCCGGCCGTGCCGGACTCGGCCGCCCTTTAGATTCCGGAAGGAGGCGCAGGGCTGCTTGGAATCTGCAAGTGTCTTCTGTGCAGCGGCGCGCCCGGTGACCCCCCGGGCACGCCTCCCTCTCCCATGGCCTCTGGGGCTGTGCAGTGGCCCTGTGGCCTGTACCATGGCACCGTGGCCTGTGCCTTGGCGCCGTGACCCGTGCCGTGGCCCGTGGCTGGGCGTGGCGCGTGTGGCACTCTTAGTAGGAGCCACAATGCGCAGGAAAGGGCAGTGTGGGCAAGGCCTGGCATCCCTCCCTGCCCTGTACAGCTGGCCGGGCCCAAGGCCAGCCACCTTCTTAGCCCTTGTGCCCTCATGCCTGCCAGTCCCCTGAGCCTGCAGCGACCATGGAAACCAGCCCACCCTCCCTGTTGCGTAGCAACCCTGGACCACAGCCTGGCCACTGGCTGTCCTCAGGAAATAGAGAAATTGTTTATTTTTTTTTTTAATTGATTCATTTTTTTCAAGTGTTGGGGTCACTCCTGGTAGTGCTCAGGACCATGTGGTGGGGGGGGGGGCAAAGCCCGGTCAGCCTCACGCAAAGCGCCCCGAGCCCCTTCCTGCCAGGGCTGCGTGGCGCCCTGTCTCCTCCTCTCTGTTGGCGCGACAGTGCAGGGTCTTTGGACACTTCCCTGCGTGTCCGTGGCACGCACGCACACATACACACACAGTCTCTGCACACACAGTCTCTGCACACATGCACACAGTCTGTGCATACACACACACACCAGTCTCTTTATAGTCTTGCACACAGAGTCACACACACATCCCCATTCTCTGTGCAGGGAGTCTACACACACATATGCACACACATAGACTTTGCACATACACACCCAGTCTCTGCACACATGTGCACACACACCCAGTCTCTGCAGTCTTGCACACAGAGTCACACACATCCCCATTTTCTGCACACACACACACACACACACATAGTCTCTGCACATACATACACACAGTTTGCATACACACATGTAGTCTCTGCACACATACACACAGTCTCTGCACACGCGCGCACGCGCACACACACACACACACTCTGCAAGCCTGTCTGAGGAGTGGCCTGTCCAGTTTCCAGTCCCACTTGCTCCATGTTGGTCCGTCGAGGGTTCCCTGAGATGGGAGCGGGGTGGGGGGGGGGGTGCCTGCCTGGCGTGTGTGGGTCTGTGTCCGGCCCCCCTGCAGCTTTGCAGGGAGGAGAAAGGGAGTTAGACGCTGCGGGGTAGAGATGCGAGAGTCCAGTGGGGGGCGCTGCAGCCCCCGGGGACCCTGGTGTGCCGCAGCCGGGCCCTCTGGAGAAGTCCTAGTGGCCGCACCCCAACTCACTGTCCTGCCATTCCAGAGCCCAACACGGTCAGCTATAGCCAGTCCAGCCTGATCCACCTGGTGGGCCCCTCGGACTGCACGCTGCACGGCTTTGTTCACGGAGGTAAGGGGGGGCCTGTCCGTCCCCACGTGATGACAGAGGGAGGAGTGTCCTGCTCGGGGGCCTGTCCCCACGGGGCACCTCTGGGGACACTGGGGGGGGGGGGCGCCGCAGGGCTGTGCCTCTGGGGGTCCTGTGGCCTGGAGGTTGGGGCTCGCGGCCTGTGCCCGTCCTGGGGACGAGCCACATCAGGCGTGGCCCTTTCGGAGACTCGGGAGCGAGGGCCAGGTGGGGCTGGCATTGGGGCCCGTTTCCTGCAGCTCTCAGCTTCCTTTGTAGCGGTCAGCCTCGGCGGACTGTGTGGAACTCAAGGGCAGTGTGGGATTTGGGCTACTGTGACCGTTCCTGTGGGCACAGTCTCATTTGGCATCCGGGTGCGAGCCACTGGTGGCACATACCTCCCTGGGCGTAAGGAAGAAGCAGTGGGTGGGCGTTGGCGACCGTGCCCTGGGGCTGGACGTCGGTCCTGGCCACCTCCCGGGTCTCATCCCTCAGAGCCCCGGAGGGAGGCCTTAGACCTGGGCACCCGGCGGCCGCTGTCCTGCTCAGGGGTCACTCCTGGCGGTGCTGGTGGGAAGGGGGGGGGGATCTCCGATGGCCCAGCGCGCCACACCCCTTGGCTCTGCTCCCTGACTCTGGGGAGCAGGGGCCTGGCACCCCATAGGATCCAGGAGGCAGCCCTGAGCATCGCCAGGTGTGGCCGCAAGATAAAAAGAGAGAAAAAAAAAAGACAGTGAATTGGGGGTGGGTGTCTAGGTCAGGGACTGGAGTGATAGCACAGCGGTAGGGCGTTTGCCTTGCACGCAGCCAACATGGCCGACCCGAGTTCAATTCCTCCGCCCCTCTCGGAGAGCCCAGCATGCTACCGAGAGTATTCGATATGCCAGACACAGTAACAACAAAGTCTCCCATGGAGATGTTACTGGGCCCGCTCGAGCAAATCGATGAACAACGGGAGGACCGTGACCGTGACCGTCTAGGTCAGGGGCAGAGACTGTGCGGTTCCTTCTGTCTGTTGGGCCCCTCATGCATAGCCACCAGCACTGGGCCAGAACGGAGGGACCACGCCCGGCGGCTCGGGACTGGCCTGGCTCTGTGCTCAGACATGGTGCCAGGCCCCGCTGGGGTCCACATCGGGACCCGGCCACAGCATGTGCAAGACAGCTGCCCTGGCTGGCCCGGCTCCCCGGCACCTGTGGGGTACGGCTGGGGCTGCCCCAGGACGCATTTAGTGACCGTTTCCCAGAGCGTCACTGGCATCACTTGGCCCTGTCCTGCCCGAAAACGGGAAAGCCGGGCACTGCTCTTTCCGGGGGCCCTCGGGGACAGCACTGACCCCCCACAGACCAGCCTCAAGCTATTCTCAGAGAAAACGCGGGCAGCTTGGAGCCGAGATACTTAAAAGGAAAAGTTAAAAATAAACACCCCAGTGTCGGCACCAGAAAAAGGAGCGTCAGGACCCGCCCCCAGGAGGGAGCCGCAGTCTGGGTGTAAAGCCCGCCCGCCCCCCAGGAGAGCCCCTCCCCTCCCCATCACCCTGGGCCCCTTCCCTGCTCTGTCCAGGGGTCCCCAGTTCCCCTCTACAAGGCTCACTCAGGTAACCCCCCGTCCCCTACTGACCAGGACACCCTCTGGGTGGGCGCAGACCCCAGAGACACCGGGAAAGTGACAGGGTGTGGACAGCTGCCCCGACACGTGGCCTCCCTGTGACGCCCTGGGGGACACAGCGCGGCAGCTGGGCTGGGGGCTGGGGGCTGGCACAGGCTGGGGGCGCTGGTGGCACCTGTGGGAGGAGCTGCTGTCCCCGAAGCTGCCCGCCGGCAGCTGGCTCCGTGCAGTGACCTGGTTTCTCCGCCACACAGTCGGGAGAGAGAGCGAGTGGGCGCAGCGGGCATGCCGGGGCCTCGCCTCCTCCCGCCACACTGAGGCTCTTCCCAGAGCGGGGGGGCAGGGACAGGCAGGGGACGGGAGGGGTGGGTAGGGGTGGGCTCTGGGGACACCCCAAGGTACAGGTGCCATGGGTGGGCATCCCTGCATCCCCCTTTACCGGGCGCTGGCCACCTCCTCCGGGCAGGGTGGCGCCCACAGTACCTGGCACGATTCTGGGCGTGGTGGGGGTCACAGGCAGCCCTGAGCCCAGGTCCCCCCCCTTTCTTGAAGGGAAGGCAGCAGGGGGGTGCCGGCTCCCCCTTGGCCGAAGGGCCCTCTCCCGGTCTCCCGGGGCTCGGGTTTTGGTGTTCGTCGGCTCAGCATTGGCTGTTGCCTATGGGGCCACGTCCCCTGGCTCCCTCTGCCCCCCTCGGCACTCACAGGGGCTCTTACGGGGCAGAGTGGGGCCGGGGGTCTGCGGGTTCAGAGCTCAGCCAGCTGCCACGAGTGTCTGGCCGTGGGGTCACTGCGGCCGGGCTGGCGGTGCCAAACCCCCCAGGAACCCCACTTTAAGCTGAGGGGTGGGGGGGGGACAAAAGGGAGGCGCTTGGGCCTGGCAGCTGGCCTTGGGGGTCACCTCACAGCTCCCCGGCAGCACCCGGCACCCACCCTTAGCATCTGATGGTAGAAACCCGAAATCCCAAATACGCAGAGCCTGAGTTTCCCCAGACCGTCCCTCGATCTGCAGTTCCTCCTGCCCCGGGGGGAGGCACAGGGCCCTTCACGCCTGGGGCCGGCGTGGGAGCCGGCAGTCTGGAGGGCAAACCCCCCCCACCCCGCCCCTGGCTGGCAGAGGGTTGGGGGCGGCTCAGAGGAGACGGGCTTACTATGGTTTCCTGATATAGCGGCCGCCCCCACACGCGGCAGCTGCCGGTAAATACAGGAACGGGGGCACGTCACAGCCGCCCTGACACACCAGGCTCCACGGAAGCGTGACCCAGGGGGCGGGTGGCCCTGGGGTGGGGGGGCAGGGGAAGGGAGGAGTCGCAGCCAGCTTAGTGCCTGATGCCTTCCGCTTCCTGCCGGATACTCAGCAGGCCGGCTCCGGTCTGCAGGGACGGCCACGGAGCCACGGCTGCCACGTGGGCAGGCGGGTTTCTGCTGGCGTGGGGCCGCCCCAGTGGTGCTCAGGGACTGACCCAGGGCTTAGTCCTGGCCCTGCACTCAGGGATCCCTCCTGGCGGTGCTCAGGGACCCCCCTGTGTGATGTCAGAGATTGAACCCGGGTCGCCTTCGTGCAAGGCAAACGCCCTCCCTGCTGCACTGTCACACTGGGCCTTTTGCTGGGGTTTGGTTTTTGTTTTTGGGCCACCCTGGCGGTACTTGGGGGTTACTCCTGGCTCTGCTCGGGGACCAGAGGGCCTCGGGGATGGAGCCCAGGCTGGACTCACTGAGGCAGGTGTCCTGCTGCTGTCTCTTGTGCCCTGATACCTGGAAGCTGCTTGTCCCCAACTGGCCCCGCTCCCAGTTTTGGGCCCTGTTCACTGACGGCCTTTCCCGGGCCCCCGAGCACGTTGGTCTCTGCTGCTGGTCAGAGGAGGCGGAATAGGTGCCAGAGGAGACGGGGAGCAGAGGAGATTGGGCGGCTGTGTGTGGGCTGCCTGTCAGCCTCGGGAGAAGGTCCTTATCCACCCGCAGCCATCAGGAGGGGCAGGGGGGAGGGGGCTCGGGCCAGGCACTCACCTCGCACGTGCCTGTCCCCGGCTCTATCCTCGGCTCCGTCAGCCCGACCCCTCCTGCACGTCCCCAACTCTGGTGCCAGCCCCTGCCCCGCCCCTGACCCCGGTTTCCCGCTGCAGGGGTCACCATGAAGCTCATGGACGAGGTGGCCGGCATCGTGGCTGCACGCCATTGCAAGACCAACATCGTGACGGCCTCGGTGGACGCCATCAACTTCCACGACAAGATCCGGAAGGGTGAGATTGCCTGTCTTGGCCCCGGGAGTGGCCCGACCTCACCTCTGAGGGTGCCCCGCTGTGGATGAGGGCAGGCTCCCTGCGCACGGACCCGGGGGAACTGACCCGCCGCAGAGATAGGGATTCCCACCTGGGACCCAGAGGGCACATATGGAGGATGGCGAGAGTGTAGTGACCACACCCGGGTGCTGCTTCTTCAGGGGCAGTTCCAGCCCACAGCACTGTCCCCAGCGCACCCAGAAGCAAGAGGCAGAGGCGAGGATCCGCCTGCCTCCGAGGGCATCCGGGTCACCTGCCCTGCAGCTCAGGCTCCTGTCCTCTGCCTCCAGGACCCTCCACACCCTGCTCCGGGGGCCTTTGGGGGTGTCCAGTTGCCCTGTGGCGAGGCCTGGGCAGCACGTGAGCCCGTTCAAGGCCCCTGGGACCCTGCATCGTGGTGTGTGGGCAACATGGGGAAAGCTGGGTGCCCTGGGCTGGGTGCCGGCCGCCAGCCAGCTGCGGCTCCCTCCCTCTCTCCCTCCCTCCCTGCTGCCAAGGACACATGCTTGGCCCGGAGCCCCCGAAGGCAGAGCCACTGGGCACACAGGCGGGCAGAACTGGGATGGTGACCCAACCCCTGCTAAGAGGGCAGGACAGGACTGTCACGACCCAAGTCTGTGCCGGCTCCACGTCCGAGCCACGTGGCCGCCTGGCTCCGGGCCTCGCCACGCTCAGCGGTCGGCGGTCTCTCGGACCCTGCCCTGCAGCACTGGCACCCCAAATCCAGTGCACCCCCCTGCAGGAAACCGCAGACCCCGAGGCTTCAAGGAGCTTCCTGGGCATCGCATGGGGCCGGCATACCAGGCAGGTCGGCGAGGGGCCCCGCGGGATCCGCAGAACCCCAGGAACCTCCTGTCCAGGCTAGAGGGTGCATTCTGGGAGGTGACCCCCGCCCTGTGTACACCGCCCCCCCCCGTGAGTGCCCCACCCCGTGTGCCCTCTGCTCTGTACCTGTTGCCCTGTGTACCTGCGCTGCCCCGTCCTGGGCCCCTTCTCCCGTGGACTCAGTGCTCAGCCAGTAGCGCCCTCCTGCCCACCTGTCTGCGGCCCCCAGCAGGCTGTGACTCCCTCAGAGGCCGCCAGACCCCGGCTACGGGCAGACTGGGCCTCTCAGAGGCATTGGTGGCTGTGTCTGCCCAGGCAGTGCCATCCATACAGGGTCTTCGCCGTACCCTAATGGGACCCTGGGGCCACACACAGGGACCCGCAGCACCCGCAGGTGTGGGCAGGCAGGTTCCCGGATGGACCCAAGCCCCGTGCTGGGCTTGGACTTGAAACCGCTGCTGCTTTTCCTGGGCCGGCAGTCAGGCCGGGTCAGGGCCAGATGGAGCCCCCGGCGTAGCCGCCAGCGTGGCCTATGTCCACTGCCACGTCCCTCTGCTGGGTGGATACTGGCCACAGTTACTGGCCCCTCCACTGACCTTCCCACCACGCCCTCGAGACTGGACATGGCCAGGCGCCTGCCCGTCTCCCGGACAGGACAGGACAGGACAGGTCAGGACAGGACGGGTGTGACCAGGCTCCTGCCCACTTCCCACAGGGCTGCCCATCTCCTGGAGGCACAGGGGGCTTTGGGGACAGAGTGGCCCAGCCCACTTGGCCATGCCCACACGGGAGCCTCTGGAGAGAATGTTGGGGTGGCCGGTTTCGGTGCCCCCTGGTGGGCTGGCACCGCCCTTACCCCTGCAGACCCAGAGGGGCTGTGAGCATGTCACTGCCCATGCTCTGGTCCACGCGGCCTGGTGACCGGGTTGGTGAACTCTTGTGCCCTCACCTACCCTTCCACCGATGGCAGCTGAGGCGGAGATGGCCCCTCCCTGGCACCCATCTGGGGCTGCTTGGGCCTCAGGGCCTCCTTGCTGGGGCCCTTGGCTCATGTCCCCCGACTCAGGGCTGCTGGAGAGAGTGACCCCGACACCCGCCTTTCTAGGTAGGCACTTGGCTCCCAGCCCTCTCATGTCCCTGAGCTGGTCACTAAACGTGTCCCTCGGCCCCCGGGGGCTGTGCGACCCCAGCGGACCCCCATGAGCTTGTTGGGGGCTTCTGGGTCCCTCACGGAGAAGAGCCAGGGCTGGTCCTGCCACCGGAACAGGCTCCGCACCCCGAGCTTCTTGGGGCCAGCTACGTGGCTGCGCACCAAGACCGCCCGACTGGCCCCCAGCAGGGCCATCAGGTACCCCTACCACAAGCCATGCACCTGCCCATGTGAGTCCTGTGCTCCACGTGGACTTGGGCCCTGTGTGTCCCCCTCCGGTCTTTCCTCAGTGGGGGCATCTGCAGGCCCGGGGTTCCGGGAGGGTGGACAGTGCCTGCGAGCAGTGGGGGTGATGGGTGAGGGGGTTGGGGGCCGGGAAGCGGCCCCGACCCCGAGGTCCTGGGAACCACGTGGGCCCGGTGACAATCACTCGAGGCCTCAGGTCACACGGGTGACGCCCCACACAGCCCAAAACGCACATGTCTGCCCAGACACGGAAGGGCCACATTCCCACATGCGTGCTCAGGGTGGTCTGGGCACCCACAATGGGCGTGGGAGCGTTTGCTTGAGAAAGCCTATCCCAGCCACGGGCTGGGGACCCCACAGGAACCCCCACTCTGCCGGGGCATGACTGGTCGGTGCCTGCTGCCCCCGTCTCTGGGCCTCTAACCGGACGTCGGCTGCTGGGCAGGGCTGCTCCCCAATCTTGCCGCCCCGGGCCCCTGGAGGCCCGCAGGACGCCCTGCCAGCTGTCCCCTGGGCCTGTCCCTCTACCCGCGACTGACCGCGTGGCCTCTCCCACCCCACCCCCGAAGCGGCCAAGTGTGCCCTGTGGTGCTGGCCCCCTGCGCTACACCCTGGACTCATGTCCCCACACAGCCTTAGCCTGTCTCCACCGGACCCTGGGAGCAAGTCCGGCCGTACTTGACCTCTGGGGCTTTCCTGGGGGTGTGGGACCCGGTCACGGGAGCAGGGGACGGCTCAAGGACTGGCATGAGGATGAGACGCCCACGTCCCCCTCTGCAGGGCTGAGGTCATGGCCCAGATGGGGAGGGTCCCAAGCTGGGGGGACGTTGAGAGTCGGCCCCAGGCAAGCCAGGCTGTAGGGGTGTAACCCGGTTGCAGTGGTTGGAGGCACTCAGGGGCCGTGGGGGGGATGCAGGACATGCCCCCTGCAGGGACGCAAACCCTCAGCACCCCACTGAGCTCCCCTCCTCATCCTGGGAGCAGGGGGTGCTGGAGCCGGAAGGCTGGCTGGGCCCCGCTGACCCTGCCCCCCACACAGGCTGCGTCATCACCATCTCGGGCCGCATGACCTTCACCAGCAACAAGTCTATGGAGATCGAGGTCCTGGTGGACGCTGACCCCGTGGTGAACGACTCGCAGAAGCGCTACCGGGCGGCCAGCGCCTTCTTCACCTACGTGTCCCTGAGTGAGGAGGGCCGGCCGCTGCCCGTGCCGCAGCTCGTGGTGAGTGGCCGCGCTCTGGGCCTCGAGGAGCCCCCAGGTCAGGTGGGGGAGGAAAGGGCCTTCCGGGACCCAGGGACCTCTGGGCCCAGATTTCAGATTTGTGTGTCCCCCCTCCCGGGGGCCACAGCCACCCTCCTGCCCCTCCTGTGCCTCCTGGGGACATTGAGGCTTCGCCCGTGGCCCCCCATGACCTGTGTTCCTCTCTGTTCGACATCCTACCATGCCCCGCCGTGTCCTGCTCTGTCCCTCTGTGTCCTGCTGTGTCCTGCTGGACGGGGCCTTGGGCATGACTCTGACCCTTTAGTGGAGCCGCTGTGGCCCCCGGGTGCCCTGAGGGACCCCAGTCCCCGCCGAGAGGCTCCATTTGCGGCCTGATGGTGGGGGTCTCTGTGGGAGGTGAAGTGGCCAAGGGAATGAGGCGCAGAGCAGGGGTCCTGGCTCTGCCTGGCAGGGGGCGCTGGTCTAGGTGCTGGGGGGGCCTTGGTGGAGCTCTGGGGTTTGGGTGGTGAGGGGCGCCTGGCTCACTCAGCCTGCAGTCAGGGCACAAGCTGAGAGCCCTGGACCTCCCCCCAGCAGCCCCTGGGTGCTGCCCTGAGGGTTCCTTGAGGCCTCCCTGAGCTGGGAGCCGGGAGGCGGGGGTAAAGGGCGGGGGAGGCGGACAAGCCCCACACTGACCACAGCTGCTGCCCACACACACGGGGCCACCCCAGAGCAGCCGTCTGCAGGGGAGGCGGGTGTGGGGGTGTCCCCAGGGGGCTGAAGGCATTGTCCCCGCCTCCCCTCCCCAGCCCCGTTAGCCACAAAGCACCCCCTGACTTGCAGGATGGTCCCTCATTCCCACCCTGTCTCACACACGCATGCACATGTGCAGCCCTTCATGTGTGCACGCACCTCACATGTGCACACTTTCATGCGTGCACGCAGCTCACATGCACACGCCCTTTGTGTGTATACGCACCTCACATGCACACGCCGTTCATGTGTACACACAGCTCACATGCGCACACCTTCATGCCTGCACGCCTTCATACACCCCACGCTCCCTCCCTCGCTGGGCCGCTGCCTTGACTCCTCCCGCCTCCCCTCTGCGCCCCCTTCTCAGACCCTCGCTGCGCCTCTGAGCCAGAAGCTCCTGAGCCCCACCTGGTCCCCTCCAGCCTCGCCGGGAGCCCCTGCACCTGCCTGGCCCCAAGCGACCCCCAAAAGTGGGGCCCCTAGGGATACAGTTGGATCCCGGTACATGGCGATCCCAGTACATGGGGGTCCAGGTACTTGGGGGGGTCCCACAGTCGTGCCCTCCACACCCAGCCGCCGTCCGGGAGCAGCAGGTGTGGGTTAGCTGTCACCTCCCGTGCCCCTCAGCCCCGGGGTCACATCAAGGTGTGCCCACAGGCCTGGGGGTCCCGCTGTTTCTCTGCTGAGCCAGGGCAGATGATCACACAGACCCAGCCTGGGACACCCAGCTTCCCCCTACACTGCCGGGCCTGACCCCGACAGTGACCCAAGGGACCGGGACGGGGGGTCCCATGCGGGGTGTTGGGGGCAGTCCCAGCAGGCCCCCTGAGCCCGCCCTAATGCACTTCCCCACCGTGGCCTGGGGTCCTTCCCCAACAGACCCCCCCCAGCCAACGCCATGCCCTGGGCTGTGTCCCTCCTGCGGGGGGCGCTGACAGGGTGGCAGCCCCTTCGTCCCGGAGAGGAAGCCCAGCCTCCAGGCTCCCAGGCTTGTGGGACTGAACTCTGCCAGGCCAGTGTTAGGGTGCCACCCCCGGCCCACCCAAGCTGGGGCGCAGGACCCTGGGCTGGATCCCCCGTGCCATGAGGGACACCCCATGCACAGTCCTGGCCACGGGCCACGTGTTGGCCTTCAAACCCTGGGGAGGGTCACCAGCTGTGCCCACCCTGACTGGCAGCCCCGACTTCTGTGCCAGGACAGGCCAAGGGTTCCTAGGGGGACCACGTTAGTCAGGGAGGCCCCAGCACCCCCAGGGCTGACAGGGCCGTCCGTACTCAGTCTCGGCAGGATCTCGGGCCGCGCCGGCATCTTCGCAGGCTCTGGGCATGCGACCCCCAGGGAAGGGACCCCCTCTGGGCCTCCTGCCACCTCTGTCCAAGGCTGTTGCGACTTTGTCCCCTGTCCCAGCTGGCTCCCAAGCACCCCATGTCTCCCTAGTGCCTTGCTGCGTGGGGCCCCAGAGTACAACTGAGCCATCTGCTTCCCACCCAGAGGACCTGCCGGGTCCCCTCTGAGCCCACACTCAAAACTCAGGGGGGTCAGAGGCCATGGACCCCGCCCCCCTGTTCAGGCGGGCAGCCCTCTGGCCCTGAGTGCGTGTGTGGGTCCCAGTCCAGCCTACCCAAGCATCCTCCAAGGTCACTACAGTGGCCCCTGGGGACCCTCAAAGGGGGCAGCCCCTCCCTGAGCCTCCCCCAGCGGTGCCCAGCCCTGCAGGGATTGACAGTGGGGCCGGCGCAAGAGGGCGCCCCCTGGCGGCTGGGCGGGGTAGGGACAGCGGGTGCAGCGGGCAGGGGCTGCCTCTGGCCCCCAGAAGTTCATGTCGCCTGGACAGCCTCCTCACAGCACCAGAAACACAGGTGTCACGTAAGGACAAGCTCTGGATTCCCTGGGCTGGCATACACACGTTCACTCGGTGCCAGTGGTGTTCTTCGAGCCCAAAGACCCTGGCAGCTGAGTTCACACAGGCGGCCGGCCCGGGGGCCCCAGTGTGACCCTGGTATCCCTGGGGCTGGCCGGGACTCCAGACCCCACCTCAGGGCTCCCCATGTCATGCACCCTCCGACTGTGAAGCTGCTGTGTTAGAGCTCCCGAGACCACACGCACACACACAAACCCACACACACGTGCACACACACAGACACACACACACGCACAGACACACACTTACACATGCACAGACACATTCACACGCACACACTCACAGGCACAAACGCACACACGCACACTCACACATGCGTGCACACACAGACTCAGACACTTGCAGGCACACAGACACACATGCACAGACACACACACTCACACATGCACAGACATACACACACACCCGCATACACATGCACACACACCCTCACAGACACACAGATGCACACACACACACATGCATGCACATGTGCGCACGCACACACCCTGCACTGACCCAGCGCTGGAGGAAGATCTCCCTCCCCACCAGAGCCCGCCAGCAGCGCCACAGCCAACAACTCCTGCCTTTGTTTACTTTGCCGGCTGGAGGCAGGAGGCTGCCAGGGTGGCAGCTGGGAGGTGGGCGGGGCTGGCGCCATCTGTCTAGCATGTCAGCCCCAGCCCGAAGGAGGGGGCCCCCTCTTAGTCACGTGACTGGGGCTGCTGCTTATTAGGGCTGGGGAGAGTCCCCACCAGACCCGGGCGTTGCCCCAGAGCGCCCCGAAGCCTCCTTATCCTCAGCACTCGTGTACCGCCATCTCAGGGGCGGGCTGCGACCCCAAACATGAGCCCGCTCTGGCCTGGCGGCCCCATCCGGCCCCACACCTTGTGCACAGGCCAGGGATAGGAGGGACCTGGCCATAGTGTCCCCCTGTCCCACCCACCCTGCCTTCTGGGGCCCAGTGTCCAGTGCCCCCGCCCAGGGCTACCTGCCCTGACACGGGGTCTCTGTGAACTGCCCCTGCCCCAGCCGCACCGGAGTTGGGGACCTGCAGAGGATTCCTGAGGGACCTTGGGGTGCGGCCCGAGGCCCTAGCCATCCTGGTGTCTGGGAGTCTGCAGTCTGGTGCCAAGCTGGGACAGATGGATTTGGTGCCCTGGTGGCTGACGTGGCTCCGTGGGGGAAACAGGGTGGGGTGGGCAGGGTGCTCTGCCTGGGATCCCCAAGTGCCCCTGGCCAGTCCCCTCCACTGAGAGAAGACCATGTGGCCAGGAGTACACCAGGCCATGGACAGACCTTTCAGAGCCCAGCCTCTGGGTGGCCCTGATGGCCACGCTGCGCCCAGGCCCCGGGGTGGGGTGGCCATGAGCAACCCTGAGCCCCCTTGGGAACTACGTCCAGTTTCTGAGCTAGGTACCAGTGGGGAGACGGGGCCTCCCTCAGCCGTCCCCTCCCTCACTGCCCTCGGGTGCCCTTGGCTCAGAAGAGGGGGAGTGGGCACAGGGCTGAGGGGGCACCTCTGCTGCCCAGCACCCCACAGCCCAGGGCTCCACGCCTCCTTGTTCCTCGACAGCAGGACAGCCTTGGGCCTCGGACAGCCCAGCCGCAGTCTGGCCCCAGGCCCGGCCTGGCTCCTGGCAGCTGTTCTGGGCCGGGAACTCCCTCAGAATTGAGTCCCGCTAGAATTTAAGGAGGAGCTGGAGAGAAGATACCGGGGGTGTGGGGGTGTGGGGGGCACTTGCCTTAATATGCCGCGACCCAGGTTTGATTCCCGGCACCCCACAGGGTCCCCAAGCGCTGGCAGGAGTGATTCCTCAGGGCAGGGCCAGGAGGACCCTGAGCATCGCCAGATGTGACCCAAAAAATATCAAAAGACAGAATTTGAGTGGGGGGGGGCAGCAAAGAGAGTACAAAGGGGGGGCCATTTGTCTTGTGCACAGCGGACTCGGGTTCAATCCCCGGCACCCCATATGGTCCCCTGAGGCCTGCCAAGAGTGATCCCTGAGCACAGAGCCAGGAGGAAATCCCAGGGATGTGACCCCCACCAGCAAGAAAGAACCGTCCAGGGAGCCACAGAGAAGCTGGGCTCGGGTTTTGTATGCCTGGGGCCCCAGGCCCTACGCACCACAGGGCCTCACCTCAACCCCCCCCCCCCCAGCTTGTTAAAAAGAATCAGAGGGAGCAGAAGGTCAGCCAGGCTGATCCCCGCGCCATGTGGTAGGGGTGCCCAGGGGCTCCCAAATCCCCACCTCAGAGGCCCCAGAGGGGATGGTGGGCCAGGGCCGGTAGAGGCTGCCCACCTCGGTGCCCATGGGCAGTGCTCAGGTGGGCACTGCAGCCGGTCACACTGCGTTCTCATTTCCCTGGCACACCGTGCCCTACCACGGCAGGCATGAGTGTCCGGTCTGTTCTGGAAGCTTCCCCCCTGGGGGCCCCGTGTGTAGGACTGAACTATTGGGGGGTCTGGTTGCGGCATGAGACCTTGGGGCTCCTGGGCAGGTGGCCAGGATGCTCCAGGCCGCGGGAGGCCCAACTCCATCAACAGTGCTCGGGTAGGTGGCGGGGGGAAGCGCCATCGTCAGCCCCAGGAGAAAAGTGGCTTCCCATGAAGGGGTTGCTGGATGAAGCTCCCTGAGGCCCTGTGGGACAGGCCTGGTGGCCACCAGCTGGCAGAAGTCTCCGTCCGGGGTATCTGTGATCCTCCCCTCCCCTCCTGCCCCTCAGCCTGCCTTGAAACCCCGCACCCGGCCACCCCCCACGCTTGTTGGTCTCAGCTCGACCTCAACCCCAGCCCCTGCGGGGGCATCTCAGCAATGGGGGCTCGGCAGTAGCTCAGGTCCCTGGCTGTGCCCCCTCAGCGGGCATCACCGCCCATCCCTGGCAAAGTCAGCCAGAGACAGTGGGGGTGGGGGCGCTGCTTGCCCCTCTGACCCCTGCTCCTGGCTCTGTCCTGGTTCCGTGCTCTGTGCTCCCAGTGCCTGTCCACATGAGCACCAAGACGTGAGCTTTGGACCCTCATACCTGTGACATTTGGGGGGTGACATATGGACGCTCACACCGGTGACATTTGGGGGGGCTTTCGGGGAAGGCGAAGGGCAGTGTGCTCGTGGCGAGCCTGACATGACATCCTCTAGCTGACCGTCCTTGCCACTGTTCCATTTGTCCTCAAACACTGGGCCCAAAAATAGCCGCTTGGGCTCCTGTCATTGCAGATGAAGGCCACTGGCCTGTTTCTTGGACATTCCGGCACCATCAAGGCGGTGGGTCCCCAAGGCACTCGCAGGGCCTGACGGGGCTCAGTGCCCACCCCACCCCACCCCCAGTGACAGAGGCTCGGGCTGGGCCCAGCGCGGGTTCAAGACCCGAGTGTGGGCGTTTCTGGGGGCACAGGGCACCCTGGGGACCTCAGCCTTCTCCTTCCCATCCACGCGTGTCACCGGAGGCTCTGGGCTTGGTGCCCTCTGGCTGACCCTCGGGGCACGCCCCTGACCGACTGTTTCTGTGCCCACAGCCCGAGACCGAGGATGAGAAGAAGCGGTTTGAGGAGGGCAAAGGGCGGTACCTGCAGATGAAGGCCAAGCGCGTGGGCCAAGGACAGCCTCAGGCCTAGACCCCCCCTCCCTCCCCCCGTTCATGTTGAGAGCTGTTGTATCAAGTGTTCGACTCTCAGTATTAACTTACTCCTGAAGCCCGTACACCAAAGCTTTATTTATACCCTTCCAGTGTTGGCCCCGACGGCCCGAGGCGTTCGGGGGTCCTGGGGGGCCCCTGCAGCTGTCTGCTTGAGAAGAATCCGCCTCGCTAATAAAGCTGCTGTTTGGCTGGATCTGGGTCCTGAGTGGTGATCATCCCGGGGTCCTCTCGCCTGGCACATTGGGGTCCCACCGCGGGGGAGCTGAGGGGAAGCGAAAGCCCACCCAGTGCGGGACTGCCACACCGTGGCCTCCACCCACACACGGCCAGTGCTGGGATGGCCGCGGGGGCTTTGTGCACGTGTGTATGCACCCAGTGCTCTATGCACATGCCTGTCCCTGCCGTGTGCCCATGTATGTGTGCAGTCATGAGTGCACAGACATCTGTCCCTGGGGTGCACGTGTGGCTACATGTGCACACTTTGTCAATCCCTACTGTGCACGTGTATGTCCAGTTATGTGTACACATGTCCATCCCTTGCGTGTGCTTGTGTGTATCCAGTCACACGTGCACACATGTCCATCCGTGTGCACGTTTGTGCTCTGGTCTTTTTGTATGTACATCTGCATGTGTATGTACACATATAGTTACATTGCATAGTCCATTCCTGCTGTGCATGTGTGTGCATGTCATGTGTGCATGTGTTCATCCCATTGTGCCCACGTATGTGTATAGTCATGAGTGCACATTCATCTGACCCTGGTGCGCGTGTGTGTATGCATACGGTTGTGTGCACATGTCCATCCCCGGTATGCATGTGCGTATGTGTGCATAAGGTCATGTGTGCGCACGCCCATCCCTGGTGTGCACATGTGTGTCTGGTCGTGTGCATAGACACCCATCCCTGCCATGCACCGTGTACAGATCTGGCCCTGCATACACATGCACCCATCTCTGCACACACGTGTCGTGTGTGCACAGACACCATCCCTGTGTGCACAGGTGCATGTGAATATTCGCACCTGGTCCAGCGGCTCTGAGCAAATCACCACAGTCCCAGCAGTGGCCAAGGCCCCGCCCCGCCGTGGTTGAGAAAGATGCCCCCCTCCAACCACACCTCCGATGCTAGCCCCCGAGAGAACGTTCTGGACTCAGGCAGCTCCCAGCAGGCTGCAGACGGAGCTGCTCCACCAGCTGCAGCCTCGCGTGGGGCTCCCTCTCCCGGTCCAGCAGGGCTCCAGATGGGCCGACGCCCGCCAAGAGCCTTGGCATCGACAGCGGGGGGTCCTGGTTTCAAAGCCTCTTTCCCTGCAGGGAGCAGAAACATGCCCCTCCAACCTCCCCAAGGCCACAGGAGGTGTCCTGGATGGGGGTGCACAAGAGGCCCAACCCAGGGGTCACCAGCCACGGCAGTGCCAGCATCAGGGGCCTCCAGGGGACAGACCCAGAGGGTATCTGGCCTTTGTGAGTCAGGTTTTCCCAGTTCACTCCCAGTTTGTTGAGGCAGCCACACATCTGCTGAGGGCAAGCCTGGCACCTGTCCCGGCTGGAAGGAGCCCACGCCAGCAGGCTCTGGGCATCAGCACTCAAGGCGGAGATCAGGCTGAGCTGCTCTCACCCCCAGCCCAAGTCCTCTGAAAACAGGGCCAGGAGCCACAGAGCTGACGGCAGGGTGCTCCGTGCAGGGTGCTCACAACCACTGGTGTGCAGCCTCTCTGCCAGCTAGATGCCTCCAGGGCCCAAGTCCTGGCTGGCTGACTTGTTTGCCTTGGAAATGCCACACTTGAATGCCAGCTGCCGTGGCTTCCTGGAAGCTTGTATCTAACTGGCCTGTCCGCAAAGGGCTCGAGGGGACTCTGAGGGTGACACCCAGACCACACAGGAGCCCCCACCTGGGCTGGGCTGCACTGGGAGGCTGCTTCTGGAGGGCCCAGCGGGCCAGGGACCCTCCTTCCTTCCTGCCCAAGGCTGTCACTCACAAAGCCCCCCAGAAGCAGATGGGCTGTGACCTGCCACCCCAAGTGACCCTGTGGCATGCACTTCCTAAAAGCCCCAGGAAGGACTGTGGCGGGCGGGGTCTCCGCAGGTCCCCCGGTTACCTAGGTGATGGATGGTTTTCCCCACCCGCGGCCGCCAGGAGCACCGAAAGGTGGCCGTCCCTGAGGTCTGTCCCTCTCCAGCTGTGTGGCCTGCTCCGGGCCCTGGGGCGGTGAGACCCACCTGCTCAGCTGCAAGCCCCCCCCCCAAGTCCAAATCCTATCCTCCTCCCCGGGGGCCCGCCCGCCTCTCCCCATCCCAGGCCACCGCCCACCCCCTTTCCAGCGGCCACTAGACCTGCCCCGCGCTGCGCCTCTCAGCAGGGATGCTCACGCTGACCGTCCCGGGAGGAGATGAGGCCCGGAGGCGGCGTGGGGAGCGGGCTGGGGGGCAGCGCGGGGCGGGGCGCGGGGCGGCGCTGAGAGCCCGCGGGGACGTGCGCCCCGCTCCGCCCCCCGCCCCCAGGCGCGGCCGACGGCGGGAGCCGGGCGCGGTGTGGCCGCGGCGCGGGAGGACGCGGGGCTGACGGAGCGCCTGGCCACGGGGGTCGCCGCTGCGATGCCCCCGCCCGCGGACCGCCCCGCAGCCCCCCGCCCCCGCGGCCCCCGGCGGGAGCGGCGAGCCGGAGCCCGGGGCGCCCGCACGCAGGGTGAGCACGGGGAAGGGACCGGGCCCCTGCGGGGTGACCTCCCGGGGCAGTTCCTCGTGGGGGGGGTCCCCGACCCTTCCCTGCCCGGCGCGGCGGGCGCCCGGGGTGGGCAGCGCGGCGGGCGGGGCGCCCCGGAGCGGAGAGGGGCCCGCGGGGGCGGGGGGCGTGCCGGGGCCGCGGGCTTGGAGCTGCCGGCCCCGCCCTGGCGGGGGGCGCGGGGGCGTGGGGCGCGGGGCGCGGGGCGCGGGCGGGTCCCCGGAACCCTTTCAAGTGCCGCTTCTCTTTGTTGCGCAATAGCGCCCAGGGGCCGCGCGGCCTCATTGGCCGGGGCCCGTGACGTCACGCCGGGTCCGTTCCGGCCCCGCGGCCCCGGGTGGACTCGCCCCGGGAGGGTCCGAAGCTAACGCAAGCTCGGGGGGCGGGTGGAGCGCCTCTGGGGCCTGGGGAGGGGGAGCCGGTGCTGCCGCCGCGGGCACTTTGGAGGGAGTTGGGGAGAAACTTCCCAGCGGGGGGTGGGTGGGGGCGGCCGCACGGGCGGGGTGGGGGGTGAGGACCGGGCGCCCTGGCCAGGGTCCTGCCTGTTCTCGGCTCCTTGGAGAAGGACTGCAAATGTGCCATGCAGGGGGGCGGGGCCCCAGCCCCCACTCAGGCCCCCCACACACACACTCCTGCAGACGGTGTCCACTCCCGGCCCCATCTCAGACATCCCCCCCCAACCCCAGCAGGCTCAGGAGTCTGAGACCCCCCACCCTGCCGCCCCATGTCCTCCCAGGTCGCCCTGGCCAGGGCCAGGCCTGGGCCGGCCAGAGTAAGCGCTCAGCCCCTAGGGCACTGGCTTTGCCTGGCCGCTGGCCCGGGTTTGGTCCCCGGGGCCTCCCAGGGTGGTTCCCCCCAGTCATCGGGAGTGATCCCTGAGCACAGAGCCCGGAGTAAGCCCTGAGCACTGCCAGATGTGGCCAAAAGAAAGAAAGAAAAATAAAGGAAAACAAAAGACGGTTTTCTGGGGCTTGTTTCTGAGCGCTGGGAGGGTTTGTGGGCAGGGTTGCCGCGGCCTGCTCCCTGCGATGCCTGTTTGTCCCTAACCCTGGCCCTGGTCATCAGAGTTGAAGCGATGTTGGCAAGGGTGACCAGCTGCAGGAGCTGAGGACCTGCCCCCAGATGCTGTCCCCCCCCAAAGCCCTTCTCCCACCTCCCTCTGCAGGAATAATGCACAAACCCCACACCTTATGCGATCAGCAGGTGGACAGGTGGCAGCTGGGGGCGTGCAGGGACACATAACTGCTTGGTACCTGGTGAAGAGCGGGCTTTAATTTGCTTTGGGCCCCATCTGGGTGCTCAGGGCTTAGTCCTGGCTCTGCACTCAGGAAATCACTCCTGCTGGGGCTCAGGGGACCATGGGGGATGGCGGGGATCAAACCTGGGTCAGCCGTGTGCAACACAAGCGCCCTGCTGGCCCTACGCTCTTTCCTCAGCACCCTGGATTTCCATGTTGGTTTTGGAGCCACACCTGTAGTGCTCCCTGGTTCTGTGCTCCAGAGCTGCCACAGGCGGGCCTCAGGGGACCGTGCAGTGCTGGGGTGGAACCTCCTGCATGCAGAGTCTGGGGGACCATGTCCTCTGCCCCCCCAACCCTCCCTAGTACCACTGAATTCCCTTTTCTTTTCCACTGTCACCCACCCTCTGCCCATCCAGACCCCAGCAGACAGCCTGGAAACCCTGGGGTCCTCCCCAAATCTTGGTTCTGGTAGGGGGGAAATACAGACTGACCTCAGACTCAGAGATGCAAACCCGGCAGGTACCCGTGAGGTTGGAGCCAGACACTTTGTGAGCAGAGCACTGTCAGGCTGAGTCCACTGACCACCCACAGTGCTTCATCCCCGGCCCATCAGGCCACCCTCATTGACCACTCACAGGCCCCCTTCCCAGACTCCAAGCTGGCCTCGCTGAGCACCGACTGCTCTGTCCAGGGCACCAGGCCGGCCACTAGCCAGATGCTTCTCCCACGGGACATCATGGCTTCCAGAAGGGGCAGCAGGGGTCCTGCAGGGGTCTGGGGTCCCCTTGCCGTGTGTCTCTGTGCAGGTGTGGGGGAAGTTTGGGGGATACTAGAACAGCTGCTCTGGCATCTTGTGGTGCTGCTGGGTCAGAGTGGGGGGCAGGGGCCACTCTGTCGGTGTTCCCAGCCCTGGGGCTCAGGGCAGAAGCACCCCGATGAATAGTCCTTGTTCTCAGAGGTTGGGGGCCTGCAATGGACAGGCCAGCACAACTGGGATGAGTAGAGGTGCCTGCCAGCTGGCCAGGCTGTGGTGGTCACTTACCCTGAGAGCCGGGGCCTGTTCACAGGGCTGCAGACCCCTCTGGGGGACTTGACGCTCTGCTGGGCTCCCAAGGCTGAGACTAGAGCATCCCGCTGTGAGATCTGGGGGTTCCAGCTCCAAGGTCTGGGGGTTCCAGCCGTGAGATCTGGGGTTCTAGCTCTAAGATCTGGGGTTCTAGCTCTAAGATCTGGGGTTCCAGCCATGAGATCTGGGGTTCTACCTCTAAGATCTGGGGGTTTCAGCTGTGAGATCAGGTTCCAGCTCTAAGATCTGGGGTTCTAATTCTAAGATCTGGGGGTTCCAGCCGTGAGATCTGAGGTTCCAGTCGTGAGATCTGGTGGTTCTAGCCATGAGATCTGGGGGCTTCAGTGTGAGATCTGGGGTTTCCAGCCGTGAGATCTGGGGGTTCCAGCTGTGAGATCTGGGGGTTCCCAGCTGTGAGATCTGGGGGTTCCAGCCATGAGGTTTGGGGGTTCCAGCTGTGAGATTTGAGGTTCCATCTGTGAGATCTGGGGGTTCCAACTCTAAGACCTAGGGGTTCCAGCCGTGAGATCAGATTCCAGCCGTGAGATCTGGGGGTTCCAGCCGTGAGATCTGGGGGTTTCAGTCCATGTGGCCTTCGGTCCATGTGGCCACAAGCTCAGCTCACTGCAGCAGAGACAAAGTCTCCTGGCCCTCTGTGGGTTTCATGTGACTCACCCACCTGCCGCTGGGTCAGCCAGAAGCCACCCTTGTCCACTCAGAGGTGCAGCGGCTGCATGCGGGCTGCAGGTGAGGGTGGCGGGGCAGGGGAGTGAGGAGTGGGGTGCAGCACCCACGGCCCAGCTGCTGGGAGTATGGGCCCCATGCACTTGTCTGTAGCCAGCACCCTCACCTGCACTGCCTGACCCTTCCTCTAGAGTCTAGGCCAGCAACCTGGGCTGTCTCAGTGACTGGCAGCCTTTGCCCAGGGTTGTCCTCAGCTCACCTGTCCTCCAGGGCACAGGGCCGAGTGTCCCTCTGGCTGGCCTGGCTACCTCCCTGGGGACACAGGGGCCCAGCAGGGCTGGGATCCCCCTCTTGGGCCTGGACTGGGCAGGCGCGAGGACGAGGCTGAGCCCCTCCATCTCCCGCCAGCCCCAGCAGCCCACATGCTGCAGCCACCACGTCCTCCCTGTCCCCCCACAGACACTGCCGGCCCCTGGAGGCCCCCTGCGGCCCCGTGTGCGCCATGAGCGAGCCGTGGCGGCCCCCCGGCAGCGCGGTGGGCTGGCTGGCGTGCGGGGGCCTCTCCCTGCTGGCCAACGCCTGGGGCATCCTGAGCGTGGGCACCCGGCAGAAGAGGTGGAAGGCGCTGGAGTTCCTGCTGTGCGCCCTGGCTGCCACGCACATGCTCAACGTGGCCGGGCCCATCGCCACCTACGCCGTGATGCAGCTGCGCCACCGCCGGCCCGATGACGCGTGGAACGAGGGGCTCTGCAAGGTCTTCGTGTCCACCTTCTACACCCTCTCCCTGGCCACCTGCTTCTCCGTCACCTCCCTCTCCTACCATCGCATGTGGATGGTCCGCTGGCCCGTCAGCTACCGGTGAGGGGTACAGGGGCGCTCGGGGCCCGCTGGGCGGGCTCAGAGGCAGGGCAGGGTGGCCGCGGTGTGCCGGCATCCCACCTGGGGGGCTTTGGAGGGGACCTTCCCTGTGGCAGTGGGCTCGGGAAGCCCCTCTGGTGGAAGTACACAGCTCTCCCAGGTGGGCGTGCCCCTGGTGGGGAGGTTTGGGGACCCCAGCAGGGAGTGACCAACCTTGCCCCTTCTGCGCCAGGCTGAGCAACGCCAAGAAGCAGGCCGTGCATACGGTCATGGGCATCTGGATGGTGTCCTTCATCCTGTCGGCCCTGCCCGCCGTCGGCTGGCACGACACCACCCAGCGCTTCTACGCCCATGGCTGCCGCTTCCTGGTGGCCGAGATCGGCCTGGGCTTCAGCGTCTGCTTCCTGCTGCTGGTGGGCGGCAGCGTGGCCATGGGCGTGGTGTGCACGGCCATCGCCCTGTTCCAGACGCTGGCCGGACAGGGGGGACGCCGGGCCCCCCGCCGCGCCTTCACCGTGCCCGCCATCGTGGTGGAGGATGCCCAGGGCAAGCGCCGCTCCTCCATGGACGGCTCCGAACCTGCCAAGACCTCGCTGCAGATCACGGGCCTGGTGGCCGCCATCGTCGCCGCCTACGACTGCTTCATGGGCTTGCCCGTGCTGGTGGGTGCAGCCGGCGGGATGTGGGCTCCGTGCATGGACATGGCCTCTGCCTCGGGGGGCTCAACCTGATGCTACAAAGCCAGGCTTGCTGCCCACCGAGGACAGAGGGTCTGGGCCCCAGAAGGATGGAGGGAGGGCAGGGGGTGCCCTTCATGAGCCCATAGGGTGGCCTTTGCCCCCTTCTTAAAGGCTGAGCTCAGAGAGACCACGGTCTTGCTGAGGGCTGCACAGCCTGTCCACTGGGGGACTGAGAGAGGTGCCCCTTGCCCGGTTGAAGTGCTTCAGCCTCATGTCCTGCTTCTAGTCACCCTCCAGTAACCTGGTGTCCTGCCCCCCAGCCCCAGTGGATGGAGGGGAATGAGGGTACCTGGGCAGTGACCTAGTGGTCACCTGACTGGAGCCACTAACCCTCAGAAACTGCCCTTGGGCTTCTCTGAGTCCAAGGCTCGTGCATTTATTTAGTGGGGGCGGGGGCAGGTACAGAAGGTTCCGGACCATGTGGCTCGAGACCAGATTTTCTGAGCTCTTTCCTCTTCAGAAAAGGAGCTGAAGAGATCAGTGAGGGGACAGTGGGTAGGACACCTGCCTGACCCATGGCTGAGCCCGATTCAATGCCCTGACCCTCCCTATGGTCCCCCAGCCCTGCCAGGTCCTCCCACCAGGGGCGCTGTTGCCATAGATGGGAAGGGCCGTGTGCACAGGGCTCCAGAGCCCAGTGCTCCCCGCATGCTGTGAAAGTGCCAATACTGACTTGTTGGGGGGTCACACCGGCTGATCTAGGGGGCTCTTCCTAGCTCTGTGCGTGGACATGGCTCCTGGGGTGCTAGGCATACGTGGGCGCAGCAGGGAACCCACATCTCATCTGGGGAGCGTGCCCTCAGGACCCCAGCGCCACCTCCCTGCAGGGCTGAGCAGGGCGGGGGCTGTGTCAGGTGCCAGGGAGCCTGTGCCCACAGGCGGTGACTCTCCGCAGCCTGCGGGCGGACGCCGCGGCCCCGTGGATGGCGCTGTGTGTGCTGTGGTGCTCCGTGACCCAGGCGCTGCTGCTGCCCGTGTCTCTCTGGGCCTGTGACCGGTACCGCGCTGACCTCAGGGCCATCTGGGAGAAGTGTGCTGCCCTCATGGCCAGCGATGAGGACTCGGACGATGGTGAGCACGCCGGGCCGGAGGAGCCAGGGCTGTGCCCAGGGCGTGGGGTCATCCCAGCCATAAGGACCAGACACCCCTCAGCCCCCCATGCTCTTGAGCTCCTAAGGGCCCCAAGCCCATTGTCCTGGGGCCATTCTGGTCAGCTTGCCCCACGCTGGTAGGCGGCTGCAGACACCAGACTGAATCCCCCCCCAGCTTCCAACCTCAAGGGTCTTAAATGAATGGCCCTGCAGACACCTGACCCTGTCCTGCTCAGCCAGCGAGGACAGGGTCACTTTAGACTGGGCCCTTGCCATGTGCCAACCACTGTTAACTCCAGGTGAGTGTCTAGCTATTCCGAAGTCCTTCAATCTCATGTCCTGCTTCTAGTCTCCCTATAGTAACCTGATGTCCTGCCCCACAGTCCCAGCAAAGTCGGATCCCCACCCCACCACTAGCCCCGCCCCCTCCTGTTTTCAGCCTCGCCCACCACCAAGCCCCGCCCTGCACCTGTCTCCAAGCCATGCCCCATCACTAGCCCCGCCCCTCCGCCTCTTCAGCCCCGCCCACCACCTAGCCCCGCCCTGCATCTGGCTCCAGCCAGGCCCTCGCTCCAATTTAAGCTCCGCTCATCTGTCTTCAGTCACGCCCCGCCCCTTCTCCTGTCTCCAGCCACTCCCTGGCTGCAATTTAAGCCCCGCCTACCACCAAGCCCCGCCCCCTCATATTTTTCAGCCCTGCCCTGCATCTGTCTCCAGCCAGGCCTTCGCTCCAATTTAAGCTCCGCCCATCTGTCTTCAGCCACGCCCATGAGTCCCGCCCCTTCTGTCTCCAGCCACTGCCTGGCTGCAATTTAAGCCCCGCCCGCCACTAAGCCCCGCCCCTTCCACCCGGTGTCCTAGGGAATCTTGACTGAAACTGCAGCCCCCCCCCACGCCTCCTGGGCCTCCAAGGCCCTACACCTCTGCCTTCCCTGCAGATGCCAGCCTGGACGGTGGGGTCCCTCTGGAACTGCTGTCGGGGCGCTCTTTGAACTCCAGCTACGGGGACTTGGTGAGCCTGGACCCGGTGGCCACGTATGAGCTCTCGGCCCTGGACGGGGCGCTGTCCCCGATCTTCCCGCTGGGCGCCTTGCAGGAGGAGCGGATGCAGTACCTGCAGGTAGGGAGCGTCCCTCTCCGAGCCGGCGGGGGTGGGGTGGGTGGGTGCCTGTGCCCCGCCCCCACGCGCTGCCCCTCACGGCCCTCCTCCGGGCCGCCCCGCAGGTGCCGGCCACGCGGCGCTTCTCCCACGACGACACGGACATGTGGGCCGCCGTCTCGCTGCCCGCCTTCCCGCCGCGCTGGGGCTCGGCCGAGGAGCCGGCAGGGCTGGCGCTGCCCGCGGGGCCGGGGCGGCGCGGCGGTGGCGGCCCGCGGGCCCCCGTGGGGGACGCGCCCCCGTTCCGCGCGCGCCGCCGCTCGGCCGAGAGCCTGCTGTCCCCGCGGGCGCCGGCCCCGGACGGCGCGGGCCGCCGCCTCGCGCCCGGCGCGCGCTCCGCCTCGGCCTCGCGGCTGCCCGACGCCCTGGCGCTGACCACCTTCGCGCTGACCACCTTCGAGCGCGAGCCCCGGGCGCTGCGCCGCCCGCCCGCCGCGCCCCGGCCCTTCCCCGCGCGCGCCGCCCACGGCGAGGACGCGGCGCCCCCTGGCGGCGGCGGCGCGCAGCGCATCCCCGGGCCGCCCCGTCCCGCGCCCGCCGCGCCCCTGCGGACCTGCCTGAGCGCGTCGTGGGCCGAGCCCGGGGCGCTGCGGGCGCTGCGGGCGCTGCAGGCGGCGGGCTTGGGCGCCGACAGCAGCACCAGCAGCTTCCTCAGCTCGCCCTCCGAGTCCTCGGGGTACGTCACGCTGCATTCGGAGTCGCTGGGCTCCGCGTCCTAGGGGCTGCCCTGGCGCACCTCTGGGCCCCTTGCGTCAGCCAACTGGGCCGGGTGGGAGGGATGCCCAGGGGCAGGGCCACCTTCCGCAGGGTCAAGGACTGGCCCTGGAGAAGTGGGGGCATCGAGCTACATCCAGTTACCCCCCCTCTGCACGCTAGCACACTTCAGAGCCGGGGGCGCGGCGTGCTGCCTCAGTTTCCCCGTCGCCCGTGAGCAAATAACCAGTGTTAACTCAGGGTCATGGGCGGAAGTCCACTGGTCCGTGAGCCACTGAGTGGGCAGTATGCTGCGTCCCAGGACCTCAGTGGGATCTTTAGGTCACCAGAGTCTGCCCGCTGTGCACCCACTAACGAGGCCCCCACTGAGTGTCCCTCTGCCCCGTGGGCACCCATACCCCACCCCACCCCAGATAAAGCACAAATACAGCAGACCCCTGCACACACAGGCAGCTCCCTCTTGCTTCCGGCCCCTGCACCAGCCATGACCAGAGTCCGGCCATCCTGGGCCAGGCGAGAAGAGTGGGCAGCAGGGCTGGTGGACAGCCCTATCCCGGGGCCTGATTCCTGGTCGGGAACAGGCTTCAAATTTCTGCCTCTGGGTTTCAGTCCCTGGCAGTACCCCCCTCCCCTGGGGTTGGGGGAGGGCTTCTCTGGCCCCCTCTTTGCAGGGGATCACTGTCACCGGGAGGGGGAGGGACAGCCACTATAGGGCTGAAGCTCTTGTCTGTTTCATCACACTCAGAGGGGCACAGTCCCTGCCGGCTCCACCCACGACCCACTCCAGTGGCAGGGAGCGGCCAGCCACTGCCCAGCCTGCACTCCCCTGCGAGGTCCCTCCAGTGGCTCTGTGGGGTCACAGAGGAGCAAGGCTGTGGACTGCTGTCCAGCCCTGGCCTCCGCTGCCGTGCCTTCTAGGACACATGAGACGTCAGGGCAGTCACCAGCCAGTTCACCTCCAATCAGGCAGGCCCACCTGTCACTTTGGGTTTTCACTCTGCGTTTCTTATCCAATGGCAATATTTGCAGGCAATATTTACAGGCCCCCCCCAGGACCCTCCCCCCACCCCATCCTGGTTTTTACAGAAGAGAAAGGGTCACTTCCTCCCCCACCCACCACGACCATGTTTTAAACAACTGAGCATTTTCCTTCTGTACAGAATCCAATAAAACCTCCTAATGATTTGCACCCGGCATTCACAAGCTGGTTTCGTGGAAACTAACAGCCCCAGCGGCCCCAGACAGTCTGTCCCTCTGGGTCCTGACTTCCCCCAGAATCAGTCTGTCCTGGGTGCAAATACTGCAACGGCGCCCGGGAGAGGATCAAGCCAGGCTGGAGCGCAGGTGTTGGGACTTAAGGCTTGCCAACAGGAGGTGCCCGCGGGGAGTGGGGGGCTTCAAGGGCGCCCATTTTAAGGAGGCTGATTCAGAAGGGCAGGGCTGGCGGGGGGGGGGGGGCCGAGTTTGGAGGCCCACCCGCCCGCTCCCTCTGGGGATTTGAGTGGGGATTTGAGGCCACGCCCTGAGTCCACGGTGTAAGGTCGCCACCTGGTGGCTAGCAGGGGTACTGCCGAGCCACTCTCCTTCCCCCCCCCCCCCCCCCGTGTCCCCCAGAGGAGGCCCCAGATCGCTACCTACCGCTGGGACCCCGGCCCCGCCCGAGCTGTGTGGGACGGTCCCTGTCCCCAAAGCCTGGCCCAGGACGGATACAGCGCCGCGGGAGCCCCAAAGGAGGATCGTTTCTATAGCGTTATCTAGTTCCCAAGGACACGCCCAGCTGCGCGCGAGGAAGGCACCTTGGTGGTCTCGGCCCCTTTCACAGATTCACACTGTCTTTATTTATTCCGAGTTTCAAGCAGGACAGGGGATGTGTCGTGCTGGACAGGCTGGGGACCTCCCCCACCCTGCCCCGTGGGAGAGTACAGAGGGAGGGCGCTTGCCTCTGGCATCCCGTGTGGTCCCCCCAGCATCGCCGGGAGTTAAGCCCTGCGCACCCCCGGGTGTGGCCCCCAGACGAACAAAACTGGGACCCTCCCCACTTGTCCCTCGTGGGCCCGAACCTCTAGATTAGGGGTCCCAGGGAAGAAAGGCACCGGGGTCTCCACCACCCAGTCCAGGCGTGAATAAACCATCCTATGTGGTACTCCCAGCGTCCGGAGCTGCCCCCAAACGGTTGGCACCCTGCGCGGAACGCGCCTGGGAGTCGGGCGGGGCAGGACACCTGCCTCTCACTCGAGCGGGGGCATCATTGTGGGGGCGTCGGGGCTTGGAGACGGGTGGTGCCCCGCGCCGCGTGCGGAAGGGGTGGGGGTCCGTGGAAGCCCGGAGAGCCCCCGACCCCGTCGGCGGGGCGGAGCCTGCGCGCTTTGTGCCGGTGGGAACCGGGCGTCCCGGGCCGGCTGAATGGGCTGGGGCGGGGCAGCGATTCTCCTCGCTGCCAGGGGTCCGCCAGCGCCGCCGCCGGCGGCGACCTTCCCACCGTGGCGCGGCCGGGGGGCGGGGGCGGGGGCGGGCCGCGGGCTCGGGGCCCCTGGGAAAAGGGCGCAGCCCCGTTTCGGGGGGTGGGAGGGGGAAGCGGGGATCCGGGCTGGGCCGGGGGTGACCGTGGCGTGGAGAGCCGGCTCTGCGCTTAGCCGCCCTGGAGGAGCCGCGGCTGGCCCCCGCCCGGCGCGCAAGTCCCGGGTGCCCGAGCGCACGGGGTCGCCTGCAGTCCGAGGCCGCGCGGCCCGGCCCTCACCAAGGCCTCCAGACGCGCAGCCCAGGCCCGGGGCTCCCGGAGCAGCGGACGGGAGCGGGCGGCGGGGCGGGGGCGCCGGGGAGGGCGCCGGGGAGCCGGGCGGGCGGCGCCCGGGAGCCGCCGGCGGCCGGAGCGGGGCCCCAGCGGGCGGGGGCGCGGGCGCCGGCGCTGTCCATGGTGCTGCCGCCCGCGCGCCCGTGCGCCAGGGGACAGCGCGGGCCGCCGCCGGCCTCCTCTCGGCGCGGCAGCAGCGGGTGAACGCCGCCGGGCGGACAGCCGCGGAGGCCCGACACGTAATCGGCTGCGCTGGGCAGCGGCCAGAGCCCTGGGGGAGGGGAGCGGACGGGGAAACGTTGTGGAGGGGTGGGGCGCGGCGGGGGAGGGAGAGGAGGGAAGAGGGGAGGGGCACAGCGGAGAGGCGCGGAAGGGGGAGTGGACACCGCCCTTCTCTCCCCGGGTCCGGACCTGCTCCCCCCACCCCACCTCCCCTGGCTCCTAGCCCCCAGGTCCCGCCACCCCGGGGTCTCCCCTACCTTGTGCGGAGCTCTGGAGGCTCTTCATGTACTTGACGCTCAGCTCCAGGATGTCTGCCTTCTCCAGCTTGCGTTTGCGGATCTAGGGGTGCGGGGAGGGCCGTTGAGGGGCAGGGCCGGGCGCGGGGGGTGGGGGGCCGCGGGCGGGCCGGACCTCACCTGGTGCGAGTAATGCTTCTCCAGCAGCGCCCGGAGCTGCTCCAGGCACCTGTTGATGCGCGCCCGGCGCTTTTTCTCCATCAGCGGCTTGGAGATCTGCGGGGGGTGGGGGGGGGGGGAAGTGAGATGTGGAGGTCGTGGATGCGGCCAGCACTTCCTCTACCCCTGCTGCCCGGTCTGGACACCCCCTCCCAGGCCCCCTGCAGACCCCCACACCTTGCGGAAGCTGCCGGAGGCGCCTTCGGGGCCGCCTTGCGCCCGGGGCTCCGTGCCCATGTCGTGGAGTCTCTGGCCGCGGGAAGTGGGCGGCCTTTATAGGGGCGCCTCGTTTACATGTCAATGAAGTGTGGCTGGACTTCTGGAACCCCTGGGGGAGGGGAGAAGAGGGGGCCGCCGCTGCCCACCTCTTTGCCCGACCCCCTTCTGCTCTGCCCTCCCCAGGAGCTGGGACCCTTCCTCAGTCACCCACGGGCTCCATCAGCCCTCGGCTCTCCCCGCGGGGGTTGCCTCCTGCCTGCCAGCCCCCTACCCCGGCCTCCCCTTTTGCTTTGCCTCTGGCCCCGGCTGTCGTGGGGCCCCCAGGAGCCTGGCTGAGGAGCCGGAGGGCCCAGCCTGGCCTCCTGGGCCTGATGAAGACACGGGACCGAGTACCCAGCGTGGAGCCTTTCTGGGGGCTTCATGTTCCTGCCGCGACCGCAACGCCGAATTACTCGCCCTAATGTCGGGACAATGCAGCGATTTTCTGCCTGTGGCTGCTGAAAGCCGGACGCAGGCCGGGCCCGCAGGGACCACGCAGCGACATGTGTCCCATTAAAGCGTGCAGCCCACCCGCCCGGCCTCCTGCGTGTGGGGGTTGCGGGGCTGGGAGGAGCCTCCCTGGTGGGGGGGCCTGGCTCCATCCTGCCCTGGCAGCTCCGGGCACCCGACCTCAGCTCTGAGGACCCACCTCCGGGGAGCACCCGGGGACTTTCCTGAGGGCCTGGCACTCTCCGAATGGCCACCTGGGCTTTGGGAGCCTGACCCACCCTTCACAACCTCCATGAGGCTAGAGACGGGGTTGGTGGGCTCTCTGCTGGGGGCAGGGGCCTGCCCTGGAGTAGTCAGGGCCCACAGCTGGGTCAGGGGCAGTCCAGGGTGGATGTCCAGGAGGCTGGACCCCAGTGGATGCCACCACTTTGGAGCCAGATGTGCAGGGGCCTGATTCAGACGCAGACACCGTGAGTGGAGATTGGGAAAGGCATCGGGAGCTATGTGCCCCCAGCAAGCAGAGACGCAAAAGCCCCCCACCTAAGGGGGGAAGGCCCTCAGAGTGGGGGGGAGAAGGGGGAAGGGCCGGGTGGCTCTCCAGCTCCGTGGAAGCGGGGATGAACCCCCACGCAGCGGGCGAACCCCTGCCCGCCCTCCTCGCGGGGACCGAGCGGGATTGGCGAGGCTGGCACGCGCCCGGCAGCTTTGAAGCGCCCGAACCGGCCGGGCCAAGCGGCGGGCGGGCGAGCCCACGGCGCGGCGCGGGCGGCCCGTACAAAGGCTCGGCGGGCACAAAGGGGGCAGCCGAGTGTGGCGGGCATTGTGACGACCCCCACAAAGCCGGGCCCGCGCCCGCCCCCTCGGGGCCAAACCCTGGCGCCCCGCGGCGCGCGGCCGTCCAGCTGCCCATCTGCACATCTGCAGCCAGGCGGGCGCGCGCCGGCCGGCCCCGGCCCCCCGCGGGCCCCAGCTCTCCGGCGGCCAGCGGGGCAATTTGTCGGCTAATGACGACCCCTCCCCCCAAGGACCCCCGCCCGCGCCTTTCAGACGGGGCCCCGGGCAGAGCCGAGGCGGGGGAGCCGGGGCCCGCCCCCTCTCCAGGACTCGGGCCATAAAGGGGCCCCGCCGGCCGCTCCCGGGACCCCGGGCCGGGCCGCGCGAGACGCGCTGCTCACGTGCGCGCTTCGAGGGTCTCTTAAGCGGTGGGAAATGGACCGCCAAATGCGCTCATTCGCCACGTTCCGCTTGGGCGGCGCGCGCGGCCGAGCGCGCCCCGACGACGGGCTCCTCGGCCCTGCGGCTCCGGCCCGCCCCGCCTCGCCCCGGCCCGCGGCCCGCTCACCCGCTTCCCGCATCTTAACCCGTCTCCCCTCTCCTCCCCGGCCTTTCACCCCTCCCGGGTGGCTCGCCCCCGCCCCCCGTGCAAGTTCCATCGCCCCTTCCTTGCGGTGCCCAAGAACACCCCAACCCCAACCCCCACGTACCCCTCATCCTGGTTCCCTCCACTAAAGTTAAACCCTCGAACAAGGACGGGGAGAGCATGAAACGTCCCCACCGAGGGACTTCTGGGGGATGCAAGGGGGATGGTGTCCATAGCTCCCTGGCTGTCGGAGCTCCCGGGGCCCCCAGAGAGCCAGGCACAGCCGCCGGGTCACCCTGTCCTCAGAGCAAACAGGACAACGTGCTCCCAGGCTGCGGGAAGGACGCGAACCGACTTAGAAACCAGCTTATGCAAGCGGGGATGTAGGCCACGGGCTTTTCCTTCTTTAGCATCTGGGGTCCTCAGGGGGGCCAGAAAAGAGCACAAGGCCTGGCCAAGGGCAGCAGCAGCTCGGGAGGCCCTTTCTCCGCGAAGGACAAAGTTTTTCTCTCTGGCCTGGAGGGCTCCGGGCTTCCCTCTGCGTCCCAGAATGGGGGACTTAAGGTGGAAATGACCGTCATCCTCGGTCCCTTCTCCCTTCTTCACTCTGCAGGGGCAGGTCTGGGACCAAGCTGGGGAGAGGGTTTGCAGCCGCCAGAGTGCCAGAGGCTCGTGACCCCAGCCCTGCACCATCTCTGAGCACCCCTAGATGCGGCCAGCCCCCAAACAAAGGACAAACAAAGCCCTCCTAGAAGGGGTGCGCCACCCGCTGTGGGAAGGGTTACTCCCTGCAGGGTGGCAACCAGCTATTTTTCATGCTGATTTTGTTTTGGGGGGGTCGCCTTCAGAATGCTCCTGCGGTGGCCCTGTGCAAGCTCTGCCTTCATGCCAGCCTTTGAGGGGTTCCCAGCCACTGTCTGGCCTTTAGCAGTGTTTCTCCCGGGGCCTAGGAGCTGACGGAGTTCCAGGGAGGTAGCACACGCCATACAAATGCAAGGCCCACAGGGGTTCTGCCTCTGGCCCTGCAGGGTCCCTGAGCACTAATGGCCCCAGACCCTGCTGGGCCTGAAGCCTCCCCATCCCCCCCAAAAGCAGCTTAGGGCTGTGAAGGCATCTGCCCCAGCGAGTGGTGATTGGAGCAGAAAAAGCCAGTCCCTCCACAGATGCATTTCAAAGTGGAATGAAGTGATCGCTGCGTGTAATTAACTATCCGGACACAGCAAAAGCCCCGAAATGACTCAGCCAATTGTCTACAGATGGGGTTGGAGAGGCCGATTGTTTAACTCTCTTTGGCCGTGTTGGGGCTCCCAATAGCCGGGCCACTGAGGGCCCTCCAGGGGACAAAGGCGGGTACTCCAGCGAGTGCATCAACGCTGAACCGGGCTGGCCCGGCCCGGGGAGAGTGAATCCAGGGAGACCCCCATTGTCCGGGCCTTTTGTGTTTCTCCCCAGCTGGCTCTAATCTTTAAATATTTACCCGGTCCTTTTGTGCACATATGACTTATGCACTGGGCTATGTGCTCATAAATTCCACGTCACTTCCCCGCTTCCAGACCGGACAGAGCGTAGCTTGCGCGCCTGGAACTTGGAATGGCCGAAGAGGGAAAAGCGAAGTTTCCTTTCCTGCAGAGCTGCCGCCGCTGGTGGGAACTGCCCGGGCAAAAGCCTGTGAGGGACGAGGAGCTCCAGGGAGGACGGGCTGACCACCGATCTGGTTGCAGCGGCCTCTGGAAGAAGGGGCGAGATTCAGGACTTGTTCTTGCTTGGCATCAGGCTGGAGCAGGCGGCAAACTTTTTTGCAGGCCAAGCTGGTGTGGGTTGAGGTGTTTGGTGACCACCCCCTTACTCTTCCCTCCCCCCCTCCCCCCAGCACTTTCTTGGTCCAGTAAGTGGTGACCAGCCATTTCATCAGAGGAAGCTAGTGTAGAGATTAGGGGGCGGGGGACAATCTGCAGGGTTTGCTCAGTTCCATCCTGATCCCTGGCACCGCTGTGGGAGTAGCCCCCGGGCACAGCGATCGTGGCCCTCCCAAAAGGTGGGTAGGGTGGAGGGAAAGGAACCCCACCTTCATCTCAGCCTGTTAGAGCTGGAAATATCAGGTGCTTCTGTTGGGGTCTGCTTGGGTGTTTTTTTTTTTTTGCATTTTGGGTCACACCCGCCAATGCTCACGGGTTACTCCTGGCTTATGCACTCAGGAATTGCTCCTGGCGGCGATGCTCAGGGGACCATATGGGGTGCTGGGAATCGACCCTGTGTTGGCCATGTTGGCTGCGTGCAAGGCAAACGTCCTACCCGCTGTGCTATCGCTCCAGCCCTGCTTGGGTTTTTTTTGTCCTTGTTTTCTGCGCCACACCTGGCGGGTGCTCAGGGATTACTTCTGATTCTGTGCTCAGGGATTATGCTTGGTACCTCGCGGGGCTCTGGGGACCCTATGGGGGGGGGCTGGTTATTGAACACAGGTCGACCTACCTACTGTAACATCTCCCCAGCCCCTTTAAAGCAGGAGAGACCTGGGGCCAGAGTGTTAGCACAGTGTGTGGGGCACTGGCCTTGCGCAGGGCCAACCCCGGTTCAAATCCTGGTCTCTCAGAGGGTCCCCTGAGCCTGTCAGGAGTAATTCCTGGTGTAGTAGGAATAACTCGGAGTAACCCCCAAGCATGACCCGGTATGACCGCCCCCGCCACCAAACCAAAAATCAAGCAAAATAAAACAGGAGGGCTCCTGAGAGCTGGGGATGGCCTGGAGAGAGGGTGAGGAGGGCTTCCGGTGTGAGAAAGGCCCACCCCTTTTGTGCTATACTCGCAGGGCCTAGAACAAAACACATTCAAATGCTTATTTAGAGGCTGAGCTGCGGGGATTCGGCGGCACCTAGGGGTTCTGCAACCTGCGCCCTCTAGTGGCCACAAGGGGTCCGGACACCGAGAGCCACGTCCTGAGTTTGTGATCTTGAGAAACTGGGGGCTAGTGGCAGAGACACCCCCCCCCAGTAATGCCGCGTCCTCTCCCACTGCATCTGGGGGCCTCCAGAGGCTGCAGAAGGGTTGGCAGTGCCAGGGATAGAAGCTGGTCCTCACCCCAGAACTATCTTGCTAACTCTGACTTTGCACCTTTAATCTCCCCGACCTAACTGGGCATTATTTTTATCATTGTATCTTTTTTTGGCTTGCGGGTCACACTTGGAGGTGCTCAGGGCTTGCTCCTGGCTCTGTGCTCGGGGATCGCGCCTGTGGTGCTCAGGGGCGGGGGGAGAGGGGCATCTGGGGTGCCGGGGAATTAATCTCAAGGCAAGTGACTCACACCCCCAGCCCCCTCCCCCCTGCCCCCCCCCCACTCTCCCTCTGGCCCCTGACTGGCAGGTCAAAGCAGTGACTTTCCGCCATCAGCAGAGCCCAGCAAGCACCTTCTTGAGCTTCACTTCCATAGGGCTTCAGAATGGCCCCGGTCGGTGCTGAGTTCATGGGCTGAGTCCAGCCTGGCCCTTCTACCCCTCCCTGTGCCCGGACGCCAGGCCTTTCTGCCGGCAGCACAGAGGTTGCTGCTGGCTCACTTTCTGCCCCAGCACACCGGGCTCCCTGGTGGCCTGTCCCCTATCCTGCCTTGGGCTTCCTCCCTCCTGCCTCTGGGCCTTCGCAGACTCCCTCCCTCCTCCTCCTTGCCCTTGCTCTCATTTCCAGGAGCTGCTGGCCCTCAGGGCCCAGAGACAAGACCTAGCTCCTGTGGCCTTGCCCTAGAGAGCCCTGCTGTCCCGACCTCCCATTTCTTCCCCTTTCCTGGGGTCCTTCTAGCGTCTGTCCATCCCTCTTTGGCTCCACCAGGGTTATTCTCATCACTTGCTTTTCTCTTTCATCATTGTACCGTGACCCCCAAGGTGGGAGTATGAACCCACAACAAGAACGGTCTGTGTGTTTGTGGGGGGTTGGGGGGTCCGTTTGCCTTGCACCTAGTCAAACCTAGTTTGATCCCCGGCTTCCCATACAGTCCCCTGAGCGATGCCAGGAGTAAACCTTGAGCATCACCTGGTTAGGCCAAAAAACAAACCAAAGTAAAGAAGGGGCCAGTGAGAGTCTCAGGATTGGTTTGCCCAAGTAGTACCAGGAATGCCTTTCCCCCTAAAAAGAGGCAGAGAGGAATTTCTGTTTATGTGTTTGGGCTACTGAAGGGGCTGGTACCAGGTCATTGCTCCTGGGGGCACGGAGGTCTGGGTCTGGGCTTCCTGCAAAGCCTGCACCCCAGCCCAAGAACAGGTTCTGATTATGACACCAATGTCGGGGGCCCAGAGACACAGAGACACAGAGAACCTGGCTCTGAGCTCAGGTTCGACCCCCAGCATTGCATGGTCCCTTGAGCCCAGCCAGAAATGCACCCCCCTCAATCACAGGCAGGAGTGATCTCCCAGCACTGCTGCCAGTGGCCCCCAAACAAACAAAAAGAAAATCATAGAGGCCAGAAACACAGAACAGAGGTGAAGGCTCTGCCTTACTCAGGATGGTTGGATCCCCGGCACCACCGGGAGTGATCCTTGAGCACAGCTTCGAGCGGGCCCCACCCCCTCCCGCAACAAACAATGTTGATTTTAGACAAGAGAGCCAGTACAAAACCAGCACCAGCCAGTTCTCCCACTGAAGACAACGCCACCGAGAGAGTGCGCTTCTATTTCCAACACCCTGTCAGGGTCACACGTTGCTTTATTTTCCCGGGTGAAGTCAGGCCCACATGATGAAGGTGCAGGGTGCCTTTTTATTTATTTATTTTTGCTTTTTGGGTCACACCTGGCGATGCACAGGGGCTCCTCCTGGTTCTGCACTCAGGAGTTACTCCTAGCTCTGCGCTCAGGAATTACTCCTGGTGGTGCTCGGGGGACCCTATGGGATGCTGGGAATCGAACCCTGGTCGGCCGCGTGCAAGGCAAACGCCCTCCCTGCTGTGCTATCACTCCAGCCCCTAAAAACAATTTCCTTATTGTATTTTTTTTTTTTGCTTTTTGGGTCACACCTGGCGATGCACAGGGGTTACTCCTGGCTCTGCACTCAGGAACCACCCCTGGCAGTGCTCAGGGGACCATATGGGATGCTGGGAATCGAACCTGGGTCGTACGCGTAAAAGGCAAACGCCCTACCCGCTGTGCAATTGCTCCAGCCCCTCTTATTGTATTTTTAATTAATTTATTTTTGCTTTTTTTGGGGGGGAGGGGGTCACACTTGGCGATGCTCAAAAGTTCCTCCTGGCTCTGAGCTCAGGAATGACTCCTGGCGGTGCTCAGGGGACCCTATGGGATGCTGGGAGTCGAACTAGAACTAGACTAGGGTCGGCCGCGTGCAAGGCAAACGCCCTCCCCTCTGGGCTATCTCTCCAGCCCCCCCAGGGCTGCCTTTTTAAAGGCCCGATAGAACACGAGTAGCAGTGACATCATGGGACAGCGTGCGCCCGGCTGGGGTTCAGAGGGGGCTACCCCGGGGGTAGCCTGCAAAGCCTGCACGCTCGGAGTCCGGCGCCAGCTCCGGACGGCGGCGGAGGGGGCGTGGCCTCGGGCGCGGGGCGTGGCCGGAAAGGGCGTGGCCCGGGCGGGGGCGGGGCGCGCCGGCCAAAGCCGGGTCCCCGCGGCGCTGCGCGGCGTTCTCGCGAGAGCGCGGTGCGGGCGGCTGCCCTTCGCGGCCGGCGTCGGCGGCGCGGGGCGCAGGCGCCGCGCTGGTCCCGGCTCCCGGGGCCGCCGTGCGCCATGGCGGGCGGCGGGGCGCGGGCTCCGCGGGGCCCCGAGGCGCGCCTCAGCCTGGCCGCCTTCCTGCTGGGCGCGTCGGTGCTCGCGCTGCCGCTGCTCACGCGCGCCGGCCTGCAGGGCCGCACGGGGCTGGCGCTCTACGTGGCGGGGCTCAACGCGCTGCTGCTGCTGCTCTACCGGCCGCCGCGCTACCAGGTGCGGGGGGCGCGGGGCGCGGCGGGGCCGGACGCGGCGAGGCAGGAGGGGTGGGGGGCGCGGGGGCCGGGCCGGGCCGGACCGGGCAGGACGGGGCGAGGCAGGACGGGGCGGAGGGCGCGGGGCTGGACCGGGCGGGGACGGGGCTGGGGGCGCGGGACTGGGAGTGGCAGGACGGGGCAGGGGTCGCGGGGTCCGGCGGGGCCGGACCGGGCAGGACGGGGCGAGGCAGGACGGGGTGGGGGTCGCGGGACTGGGGGTGGGGGTCTCGAGGCCGGGCGGAACCGGACGGGGCGAGGCAGGACGGGGCGGAGGGCGCGGGGCTGGGGGCGCGGGACTGGGAGTGGCAGGACGGGGCAGGGGTCGCGGGGGACGGGGCGAGGCAGGACGGGGCGGAGGGCGCGGGACTGGGGGGGTCTCGGGGCCGGGCGGGGCCGGACGAGGCGAGGCAGGACAGGGCGGGGGTCGTGGGGGCGGGGGGGGCGATGGGCTGGGCTGGGCGCGGGGCAGGGGCAGGACGGTACCGGGCAGGGTTGGGACTGGGGTCGCGGGACTGGGAGTGGCAGGACTGGGTGGGGGTCGCGGGGCTGGACGGGGCAGGGCCGGGCAGGACGGAGCAAGGGTCGTGGGGCAGGACGGGGCGGGGGACGCTGGGCTGGGCGCTGGACACGCCTCAGCCGAGCATGGGGGGGTGGGGGGGCGCGGGGGCCGGATGCGCGCCCGGTCTCGGGGTCACCGTTAGGCTCGGGGCCCGAGCTGGACGTCTCGCGTGGACGCCCAGCCAGCCCGGGGCAGAGTCCGGGGCAGGGTGGGGTCTGGACGCCTTGCGTGGACTCACCGCCCAGCCGGTCGGGGTGGGCCCGGGTGGGGACTCCAGCAGGGGCGACCTGACCTCCCCAGGGCATGTGCTGGAGCCCCCGAGCGCACGTGGTGGGCGGGATCCCGCGCCCTGGACAGGGCAAAGAGGTGGCCAGGCCGTCGGCCCGCAGTGTGGTGTGTGGGGGGGTGTGAAATGGTTCAGCAGCCATGGCACCTGCGTGTGGGGAGGGGAGCCGTGAGCCCACGTTCCTTTATATAATTCAGGGCGTGGGGGAGCCCTGCCCGCTGCAGGTGAAAGGGTGGGCGCTGGTGGAGGGAATGTGTCCTGGCTGGCACGGAGCTCCCCCCTGGCCCAGATTAGCCAGATGGACTTGGGGCGAACGGACCATTAGCCCAGACTGCAGCCCTACTGGTAATAGCCATCAGAGTGGTAACTGCAGCTCAGACTTGGGGTCTTTTGCCGGCAGGAGCAGCCTCACCCCGTCCTGCCATTCCTGTTGGGTGGATGGAGAAACCCCAGGGGCCCTAAGAGGTTAAGCGATTTGCCCAAGGTCATACCGCCACAGAAGGACGGGCCCGGGGCCTGAGTGATGAGATAGTGGGGAGGGCAGTGGCCTTACACACGCAGCTGACCCGGGTTCTATCCGTGGTATCCCAGCTGGTCCCCCGAGTACTGCCAGCTGTGAACTAAACACCACAGCAGGGTGGGTGGGCGGCTGGGTGGGTGCCCCCCGCCTGGTGGGAGCGCCCGCCTGAGTCACGGTGCCTTTCAGATCGCCATCCGCGCCTGCTTCCTGGGCTTCGTGTTTGGCTGTGGCCTGCTGCTGAGTTTTAGCCAGTCTTCCTGGAACCATTTTGGCTGGTAAGGGGTCCTTGGGCTGCGCGGGGCGGGTGGTGAGGCCCTGGGCTGCTCAGGGTGCAGGCTGAGAAGGGGCTGGGCCTCTCCCTGTGGTGCCCCTCAGCATCCCCGACCTGGACAGTAATAGTGGCTCAAGGGAAGGGCATGGTTTGCTGTGGTCCGTGCACTGAGCCCTCTCTCCTGCGGCCCCCTTCCTGGGTGTGATGTTGCCCAGGGACCCTGTTAGCTGCTGCCGGGCTTGGGTTGGGTTAGTTCGACCCTGTGAGCTTTGTGTCCACCCCAGCCCTTCCCGCGAGGCCCAGCCCCACCGCCGCCCTCTTTGACTCCGAGCAGGTACATGTGCTCTCTGTCTCTGTTCCACTACTCCGAGTACTTGGTCACGGCCGTCAACAACCCCAAGAGCCTGTCACTGGACTCCTTCCTCCTCAACCACAGCCTGGAGTACACGGTGGCCGCCCTGTCTTCCTGGATTGAGTTCACCCTGGAGAACATCTTCTGGCCGGGTGAGTGTGCCCTGCTGTCCGCCCTGGAGTGGGCCCGGGGGTGGCATGGGGGCCCGAGGACAGGCAGGGCTGGGCTCTCGTGGGCTGACCTTTGCCTGGTGACCGCCTGTGTCAGCCGGCAGCCGCACTACGGCCAGACGACAGAGGCGAGTGGCCGCTGTCCGTTTTCCAGGACTTGAGAACTTACTGGCCGGCAACTGTCACCAAAGCCCTTTAGGGTTGGGGTCCGGTCTGAGTTAGACCGTCCGCAGGGTCTGGAGAGACAGCGGGAGGGCTCTTGCCCGCGGCCATGCAGGTTCCAGCACACGGCGGGGTCCCTGAGCCCACCAGGAACGACCTATGCATGCAGAGCCCAGGGTGCTGTCGGGGGTGACCCCAGCCAAACTCAATAGTCGCAGCAGAGGAGCGCACACCCGCGTGCGGTGCCCAGGCCCTGGGAAGGTGCAGCTCAGGACAGCTCCATCCTTGCTTTCCGGTTTTGGTGCTCAGGAGTTACTCCCAGCTCTGCACGCGGGAATCACTCCTGGGGGTGCTCAGGAGAACACACCGTCAGTTAGGCGCCAGGGGAGGGCCAGGGCTGGGCCCTTCCCGACTGTCCCGCGTGTCCCGCAGAGCTGAAGCAGATCAGCTGGCTGAGCATCACGGGGCTGCTGATGGTGGTGTTTGGGGAGTGTCTGCGGAAGGCTGCCATGTTCACGGCGGGCTCCAACTTCAACCACGTGGTGCAGAACGAGAAGTCCGAGACCCACACGCTGGTGACCAGCGGCGTGTACGCGTGGTGCCGGCACCCCTCCTACGTCGGCTGGTTCTACTGGAGCATCGGCACGCAGGTACCGGGCCGCTTTCCTCTGCTCTGCGCTCGGGAGCAGTGCTCAGGGCTTCCTCGGGCAGCAGGTTTGGGGCCCACCCGCTGGGCTGGGCGTGAGAACTGGCTCCCCGCAGGACAGGTGCCCTCATGCCATGCTGCCCGGTTGCCAGACTTGTTCTTTCACACTCTGGAACTGACCTGAGGTACACGGACCCTACACGCCCCATTTCTGAGGGAGCGGTGCACTGGTTCCTGTGGGTGTCCAGGTTCTGGGGTCTCCTTTAAAGAGGGGGCTTAGGGGCTGGAGCAATAGCACAGCGGGTAGGTCGTCTGACTTGCACGCAGCCAACCCGGGTTTGATTCCCAGCATCCCATATGGTCCCCTGAGCACTGCCAGGAGTGGTTCCTGAGTGCAGAGCCAGGAGTAACCCCTGTGCATCGCCGGGTGTGACCCAAAAAGCCAAAAATAAATAAAGTGGGAGCTTAGGCCAAAGAGATAGCAGGGCGGGTGGGCACTTGCCTTGCACGTGCATGGCCTGGGTTCGATCCTTAGGCCCCACCCAGTGCCCTGAGCCCACCAGGACTGAGCCCTAAGAATGGCCAGGTGCCCTCTGCCAGGGCGTTGCTAACTGTCGGCTCCTGCTGCCTGCGCCCTCTGCCTCTTCCCTCAGACCTGGGTATGGGTGGGTGAGGGCAGAGAACAGGAAGCCCTGACCCTGCGGCTGGGAGCTCAGGGCTTCCCGTCCTGTGGGGCCGAGGGCCTGGCACCCAGGGACAGCAGGAGTGTGTGCTCACCCTGCCATCTCAGCTCTGGGACAGGCATGCGCGCTCGCCCGGCCATCTCTCGGCTGCAGGCCCAGCCTAGCTTGTTATTTTCGTTTTTATTTTTATTTTGGGGCCTCACCCAGGAATGCCCAGGGCTGACTCCTGGCTCTGTGCTCAGGATTTTGGGGAGTGCTCAGGGGATCATGTGGGGTGCCAGTGGTGGGCCCTGTGGAGGGCGAGCTGCCTCTCCCACTCTTCAGATCTGATCTTTTCCTTTTGACCTCACCTGGAGGTGCTCACGACTGCTCCCTGGGCAGTGCTTGTGAGACCCAGGGTGAGCGCGTGTCTGTGCTGACTGCGGCCCGCCAGGTGCCCCTTCCCAGCCTCAGCCTTGCTTCCTGTCTCTTTGTCTCTTGAATCTGCTTTTGGGCCGAGACTGAACCGAGCTTAGCACACACTGAGCCTCGGGGCCTCCCAGGCCCGGGCCCTGGGGGCTCCCTGACCACCTTGGGGGGCTAGCAGGCGGGTTCCTGTGTGTGCCTGGCCCCGAAGGTGACAGCGTGGTCTGAGAAACCAGGTCCGGAGCACTGACCCTGAGAACTGGACTCACTGGAGCCTCACTGCCAGGCTGGGCAGAACCATCTGGAAGGGCCACTTGAGGGTGCTGGCCCCTGGTGCTGGTGGGGGTCATCGGGTCCAGCCACCGCCGGGGACCATGTGGCGTCTTCCTTAAGGCTGGGGTGGACCTCGGCCCCCACCCAGAGCAGGGATTCCTGTGGGGGTCAGGCGCTGCCGGCTGCCTGGACAGTGGCAGAGGGTGGGGTTGGGGGCCAGAATCTGACCCTGGCGGCCAGAGTCATCCCCCTTGGGGGACACGTGGTAGGCAGCAGAGGGCTTCCGGTGCCCCTCCATGGCCTGGACACTTCTGAGAGTCGCTGGCGCCCTGGGTGGGGCCATGAGGGGGTGTCGGGTGGGCGTCGGAGAAGAGGGGACCCTGGGCAGGAGGGATGCCGGGTGGAGCCCTGGCTGCGGGGTCCCTGGCGCATCGCCTTCCTGCTCTCGCCTCATGGAGAAGAGGAGCCATGCTGCACGGAGGGCCGGGTTCGATGCTGTGGTGCCCGGCGTGCATGACCCGGCGTTCCCCCCTGCAGGTGGTGCTGTGCAACCCGCTGTGCGGCGTGGCCTACGCGCTCACCGTGTGGCGCTTCTTCCGGGACCGCACAGAGGAGGAAGAGATCTCGCTCATACACTTCTTCGGGGACGAGTACCTGGAATACAAGCGGCGGGTGCCCACGGGCCTGCCCTTCATCCGGGGTGTCAAGGTGGACCTCTGACCCACGAGGGCGGGCCCCACCCTTCCGAGGACCACCCATCTGCCGTGCCACCCCCTGCTCTCCTGAGGAACCACCTAGAGGCCAGGGTCCGAGAGAGGCGCGGCCGGGCCGTCTGCAGGGCCGGGATCCCAGGTGGCCCGGAGCAAACGTAGCAATAGCCTCGGGGCCCCGGGTGCCCCGGCCCCCGCACTCCTGAGCCACTGTGTGCTGCCGACTGACCCCCCTGCCCGCGGGCACGAGGCGCACGACACTCGCGTCCCCCCCACATGGCGGCTCTCCCCTCACGGCTCATCCTCACGCACAGCGGGCCGTGGTCTGGGGACGGGCGCGTCCTCGGCAGAGCCACGCGGCTCCCCCGTTCCCAGCGCGTTTACTCATCCGGTTTATATCAGTAGCAGCACGGATGCACGTGGACGCCACATTTCAGAACATGCCGCTCTGTCCGGAGAAAGACCGTAAACGCCACGGGGTCAGCCGGCCCGAGGGCAGTGCCCACGGAGACTCCGTTGTGAGGGGGTCTCCGGCACGGCAAACACCCTCCTCCCTTTCCCGAGCAAAGCTTAGGAGCCCCTGCTGTGCTGCACCCCTCCCCCATGCCCCCCGCCCTCATACACGATGCGTTTTGATGCGTTTTCCAGCCATCCGCGTACCCTCCTGCGCGCTCGCTCTCCCAAAGGGATCCTGGCGTTTGCAGCCGCACCCCGCAGGTCTGCCGGCATCTTTGGTTCTGTTTTCCAGTTTGGGGCTGAGTTGGGTTTGGTTTGGTTTTGCGAGGGAAGGTGTCGGGGTCCGTGGGGGGGCCCTCTCCAGCATCCCCGCGTGCGATACGAGCCCCACTAGTGCAGGGAATCGAGGTGGGGGGGGGTCTCGAGCCGGGGGGCGTGGCTGGCGCTCTGAGAGCGGCTCTAGCTGTGGACCGGAGAGGACCAGGCGGGCCCCCCGGCGACTCCTGCGTGCCGGGCAAGCACTCTGGCCGGAGCCCCGCGGGGCCGCCACCAGGAGAGCCACTTACCTTTCCGTGCCTACACGTCCCCATCTGCGGGATGGGGGTGATACCACCTACCTCACAGGGTGTTGCGAAGACTCGGAAGGACAGTGTCCAGGCTGTGACCCCAAAGCCGGGGCCCGTGGGAGGCCGCCCGGGCCGGCTGGACTGTGTCTGCGTTTCCTTGGACGCGGCGACAGCGCTTGTGTGGCTTCCTCCTTCGTTGTGCATACCAAAGAGGGTCACGGGGCTGCGGGCATGCTGCTGGGCACCAGGCGAGGAGCGGGCCACGAGGGTGGGAGCTCAGGGCGGGAAGCGGGGCACTGGGGTCCCTCCGGGCAGGGCACTTCTGGTACTGAAATCTTCAGGTTACTTGTAAAGCAGAGAATCGGGCTAACGAGGTACAGGCTTTGGGGGTACACCCAGGAGCTGCTTTGCCTGTTTACCTCACGGGAAACCGTCTCTTGAGAGTTTTCTGCACTGTAGGCCCTGCCCAGAACCAGACTACGGGGGGGGGCGGGGGGTTCGCACCAGCGCAGCTCGGAGCAGAGACGCAACGCCCCGCACCCCCTTCCTGGTCTGCGCATCCCGGGCCCCTCCACAGCGCGGTTAGATTAGAGTCCCCGGGTCCCTGCTCCTGCCCCAGGGGCCGCTGACCCCCAGGCACTTCCCTGCGGCCTTAGCGCACTGCGGTGGCCAGGCCACCCCCATGGGGGTCCCAAGCGCTTGCTTTTGAGGAAGCTGCCCCATAGCTAGGAGAGTAACAGTTAATGGAGTAATTCTTCTACTCTTCTTTTTACATGCAGAAATGTTTATTTAAATATTTTAAATGGAATTTTCTTTCACAGATACTGACTATTCTTTCCAATTCTTAAAATAAAATGTACTTGATTTCACTTTGTGCTGATGGGCTGGCTGCCCAAGGTATCCGGGATCCTGTTGCTTTGGCGAAGAAACACTCAGACTCTCCCCCACGCCATAAACGAAGACGAGCTTTTGTGCTGAAGGTCCCAGGGTGGGGCCTTGGGCAGGCCTGCCAGCGGCTGGAAAGGTGGCAGGGAGGCACTCACTTTGGTGCTGAGTGGCCGGGCTTGCAGAGTGAGCACATGTCGATACACTGCGAGCGCTGAGAGACGTGTGCACATGCGAACTTTGCATGTGTGTAAGACTGGGCATGTATATGGGTAGGGGTGTTTGTGTGTGCGGGTGTGCATGAGTGAGGTTGAGTGCGTATATACTTGCGTGTGAATTGTGTGCTGAGTGGGACTGTGTGACTGCATGTATGTTGCATGCATGCAGGTTGCCGGCCCGGCGCTCTATGCAGGCAGGTCTCTCCGCGCGGGCACATCGCCCACCACCTTCTGCTTTGGTCTCTGATGCTCTTTATTTTTCAGCGGCTCTTCAGCGAGGCAGCTCGGGCTCCAGCCGGTCCCTCTCGGCTCCGCAGTCTTCTCCGGGATGCACCCCAGGTCATTCCTAAGGGAGAATGCCCCTGGGCTCTGCCTGCTGAAACCCTTCCCTGGGTCCTCCATGGCCCTCTGCTGCCCACCAGGGCTTCAGGGGGAGAGGTGGCGTCACGGACAGGCCAAGTGTTGCTGGTGATCACCGGAGACCAGCAGCCTCAGTGAGGGTGTAACACTGAACTCGACTGACCGCAGAACCCTGAGGCCCTCCAGGAGCCATGGAGAAAGGGACTGCCCCCCAAGTTCACAGGGTCCTCGCACAGCACCCCTCATCCCAGGATTAACTCAGTTCACCGGGGCAAGCCTCGGCTGGGACCCAGATGGTGCTTATCTGTTGCCGGGGCTTCCCAGGTGGGGCTCAGGCTGACCTGGAATCCTGAGAATGACAGACGGGCACAGGGACCGCCCCCCCCATCCAGTCCCAGCCATGGGCCATGTCTTTCCAGTCAGAACCTCTGACCCCGTATGTGTTGTTCAGGGTCACCCCAGCAGTGCTCAGGGCTGATCCCTGGCCCTGTACACAGGATTTGGTGATGGGGATCAAACCCAGTGCCTCACCTGCTGTAGCCCGTATCTTACTAACAGGACAGGAGAGAGACAGGCCATGGCGGGGAGGGGAGGGGCGCGCCGTCTGGCCTGTCTCTGCTGTGTGAGGGACTCGTGGCTCCTGGGATGGGCAGGACCTGCTTACCTGGGCAGGGCCTCGCCATCTACACCCTCCTCGTCCATGCTTTGGAGGTGTTCTGCCTGCTCATCCACAGGGGCCTGGAGCCTGTGAGAGAAGCCAGCATTGGGGTCCGGCGGCCTGCGGAGGCCACGCACAAGCCCAGTACCCGTGGACACTGCAGGGCCTGCCCGGGGCTCAGGGTCAGGCTGTACCCCTGGGGACAGGCTGAGGGCTGGGCAGTGCTGTGCCAACCAGGTGCCTGGGCAGTGGACTCCTGTGGACACTCAAGCTGACAGCACAGTGTCTACCAGCCGTCAGAGGCGGCAGGAAGGTTCCAGAAGGAGCCAGGCCCACTTCATTAGGATACAAAGGTCATCAGGATAGGGCTGGGAAAGGCGGGAGACCCACCCTGCTGATGGAGCTGGGGGGAGTGGGGACAGGAAGGAGACCCACAGTATTTTTGGATTTTCGTGGTTTGGTGGGTTTGTACTTAGGAATTGCTCCTGGCGGTGCTCAGGGGTCATATGTGATGTCAGAGATAGAACCCGGGTCGCCATGTGCCAGGCAAATGCTCTGCCCTTTGTACTTTCTCTCCAGCCCTAGGAGTTGGGCAGTTTATGGAGCTTGGAGTGACCTGGAAACCAGTTTTTTGTGTTATTTTTAGTGGTGTGTGTGTGTGTGTGGTTTCTGAGCACACCCAGTGGTGCTCGGGTTTTCCCCGGCTCCCTGTGCTCAGGGATTACTCCTGATGGGAGTGAGCTCAGAGCACCTTATTCTGTGTTGAGGATTGAGGTCGGCTGCCTGCAAGACAAAAGCCTGGGAAAGCCAGTTTTGAAGTGAAGAGCTGGAGCAGTAGCACAGCGGGGAGGGCGGCTGCCTTGCCCTCTCCGACCAGGGTTTGACCTCCAGCATCCCACCTGGTGCCCCAAGCCCCACCCGGAGTGATCCCTACACAGGGACCTGAGCATTGCCGGGTGTGACCCCAAAACAAGTTTTGAGGTGGGGGAGGTGTGGGCAGCACAAACCACCCAAAGAAGCTTCTGGACCTAGTCTGGACCTTTAGCTGGGGAGGTGGGGGGACGGGGACTCCAGGTCTGTCTGTCTAGGGGTGGTGCGTGGAGCCCGGGGAGATTCGGGGTAGGCGGAGTGGGGGCCGCCGGCGGCTCAGAGGTCACTGAGCAGGTGTAAGGCGTGGCCGGCCAGTAGGGTGCAGTGGCTGGGGCGTGAGCAGCCGTGTCCAGGCCAGCTCCTGCCCCTCCCCTGCCCAGACACCTGAGGCCGTGCCTTTTCCGCAGAGCTGCGGGTGCCAGCACAGTGCCAGAAGGCCGGGCCAGTTCTGCCATGGACTGGTCCCTGCAGCACGTCTGCCCATGGCTAAGACGTGGTCTTGTCACTCTTAACACCTCCTGCGCACAGTTTTGAGAACCCTAGCTCTCTGGAAATGTGGCCAAGGAAACTCCTCTGAGTCCAGAGTCCCGGAACAGCCTGGCGTTCTCATGATGCCCACCAAGAAGTGTCTTCTGCTTCAACCCACTCCTCAGGCCCCCAGGGGTGCAATGCGCCTCAAATTCACAGCAGCCCATATACCTGCCCTGGCTCAAGCCCCCTAACCTGCTCACTGACCCCCCAAACGGGGCTCTTCCGCTAGCCAGAGATACTGGACAGGGGTTTAGGCACTGGCCTTGCATATACCCGAGCCAGGTTCAATCTCAGCACTGTGGGGTCCCCTGAGTCCCACCAGGAGTGAGCCCTGAGCACCGCTAATGAGAGCCCTGCGCACAGAGCCAGGAGTAAGCCCTGAGGAAGGAGCCAAGAGTCAGCCCTGAGCCCCACCAGGAGTCAGCCCTGAGCACAGAGCCAGGAGTAAGTCTTGAATCCTAACAGGATACCCCTGAGCACAGAGTCAGGAGTGAGCCCTGAGCACAGAGCTGGGAGTCATCCCTGAGCCCTGAGCCGGGAGTCAGCCCTGAGCACAGAGCCAGGAGTCAGCCCTGAGCACCGCCAGGTGTGACCTATAAACAACATCAAATAAACTGCAGTGCTCTGGCCCAGTGGGATCCCCGCCAGAGGCTCTCCGGGTTTTGTTTTGGGGTCACACCGAGCAGTGCTTGGGGATCACTCCTGCCTCTGCACCAGAGGTTGCTCCTTCCAGCGCTGGTCAGAGCCCTTGGGAAGGAAGTGTCTCGCCTGGGCCCGGTCCCCACTCACCTGGGCTCCAGCCGCTCCTTCACCTTGGCGATGGAGCGCACGTAGGGCGTGATCTGCATGGTGATGGTGGTCAGGCACTTGTTCTCCTGCTTCAGCTGCACCAGGTCATGGAGCTGGGCTGCGAGGGCCAAGGCCGGGGCCTCACTCAGCTCACCAGCTGGGGCCAGGCGGGACTCTGCAGGCTGGAGGGAGGGAGGTGCTAAGGGGAGCCGCAAGGGGGCCCTGGTTAGTGGGGTGCTGGCTCCCTGCGCCTGAGGCCGTGTGGGTTAGGGTCAGCCCAGGGGTTCAGGCTGTGCAGCCCCCGCCGGGACCTTCATAAATCTCCTGCTCATTAGCCACGCGCTGGTAGGATTCCTCCCAGATCTGAAAGAGAAAAGGGCTTGTGGCAGGTGCTGCCAAGTTGGAGTTCCCTGCAGCCACGTGAGCCAGCCAGAACCCCAGCGGGGCGGGTGGGCTACCTCCTGGAAGACGGCGCGCATGCCCTGCACGCAGGCGTACTCCGCGGCGATCTGCGCGTCCACCTGCAGGGCCTTGTGCAGAATGTCCCCCATGATCTCGGCCTTGATGAGCGAGTGGTGCTTGGTGAGGTCCCGGTGCAGCTCCTGGACCTGGTCCTTCAGGTTCTGCATCTCAGCCTGCAGGCGCTGCGCGGAGAGGCGGTGAGCGCAGGGCTGCCCGGGGGCGGCGCCTCAGGGCTCCCTCCAGGCGCTCACCCGGTAGGAGGCCTCGTAGTGGCGGCAGTGCTCCGCGAAGGGCGAGTCCTCGCCGGCCGACAGCAGCACCTTGGTGCTGATGGAGCGGTGCAGCGTGGGCTTCTGGACCGGCGAGCCCAGCGCCTTGCCCACCGGGGACGGGCAGCTGGGCCCCGTTAGCGCCTTGGGGCCTGCGCCCCCGGCCAGCCTGGGAGAGAGACCGCGGGGACGCAGATGCCCGGCGGGAATGGCCTCCCCTGCCCAACCTGCCACTCAGGGCTCCGCACTGGACCCCGGAACCACCGGGAGCCCCGGCAAGGACATCAGCACGGGGTTTTCACATGAGCGAGGGAGATGTCCATGTGCCCGACGCCCCGGAAAGAGTCTGTTCTCTGTAGGACCCCGGTGCCCCAGGACTGGCCACTGAGACTACTCTGAGCGCACCGCATAGGGGTTTCTCCCAGCTTCCCGGGCTCCCGGCCCGCCCATAGCCAAGCAGCTCCAGGTGGGACTCTCCATCAGGCGCCACCCCAGGCCCCACCCCATACCAGGCACCACACCCATCCACGGTTCCACCCATCTCACGCTCCTCCCACCAGGCCCCACCCCACCCAGGCCCCACCCACCAGGCTCCGCCCATCTCAGACTCCACCCACCAGGGCTCCACCCATTTCAGGCTCCACCCCATGCCCGACTCCACCCACAAGGCTCCACCCATCTCAGGCTCCACCCATCTCAGGTTCCACCCACCCAGGCCCCCCCTCCACCTTAGGCTCCTCCCATCTCAGGCTCCACCCATTTGGGCTCCAACCATCTCAACTCCACCCACCAAGGCTCCACCCACCCCGGCCCAACCCCGTCTTAGA